GTGGGATCTTCCGTGTCCCCTGCATCGGCAGGCAGACTCTCAACCACTGCGCCACCAGGGAAGCCCGAGTGAGGGTTTTTTTTAAAAGGGGAAGAACAAAGAGGCTGGGATTAATCATCGTCTTGTGAAAGTTCTATGGCATTTCTTAAACGTAGTTTCAGGAGCCAGGATGTCTCTGGTTTACGATTCTCTGGACAAGTGGTCCACGGCTCAGGGATCTGTTAGCTCATATTGCCCTGGAGAAACAATCGAGTTTCTTTGTTTAATGATGATATTTAGAATAGCAATTTCAGTACATTAATGATGTTATCAACAACAGTAATTTTAGTCACCTGACTCTGGTTGATGACTGTTCAGTTAGCACAGGACTGAGGTCAGAGGGCACAAGAAAGGGAGTAAGTTTTGGATAAGGAGATTAATCGTAAACTCGGTAAGGGAACCCGGTTTTAGGGGAACTCGGTTTCAGAATCACTTGGCCACACTTTTACAAAAACTCTCATCTCCTCAGTCCTTAAAAAGATAGGTCAGATGCCACGGTACCTGAGGAAGGGGTTTCTCTTTTCCAAGGTCCCATATTCAGCCTTTCTGGATTGGGACTTTGGTTTGGGTCCAGTAAATAAGTGACGTGTTTAGCACACTGCCTGGCACACTGGAGGTGCTCGATGACTCCCTGCTGTTATTAACATTAGAAGAAAGGGCCCTGGGGCCTAAGAGCCAGAGGTTCTAGGTTCATTTCCTGGCTGCAAATAACAAAAAAAGGAATTCTAATTAGTGTAAGGAAAAAAAAGAAAGTTACTGGCTCACCTAGCCTGGAGGACTAGCCAGACAGGTCACAGAACTAAACAGCTTCAGAAACCAGGGCCTCTGGAAGCAGCAATTCAACACTTGATATTTGTCTCTGCTCTTCGTTCCCTGTTGGCCTGCTTCTCTCTTACTGCAGAAAGGTCGTCTCCATGGAACAGAAAAAAATGGCTGCACTTGCTAAGCAACCCCAGCAGAAAGAATGTTTCCCCAGCCCCTGCTTCCTGCACTAATCCCCCAGGAATGGCTCTGCTGGGCTTGAGGTCACATTCTGACCCTTGGGCCAATTACAGTTGTCAGAGGAATGAGACATTCTGCTTGGCTAGGCCTAGGTCACAAATGCAGCCGTGGATCTGGGCTTTGGGGAAGAGTGTCTGTTCCTTCTTGTGGGAAGTCCCAGATCAAAAGCAATCACAGGCCACATGAATATTCCTGCTCCATCAATTACGGCCTGATGTTAGGTCTCCCAGCCTCTCAGTTTCCTCATGATAAAATGGAGACTGTAACTTCGGACTTACCATACTCAATTTTTTTTTTTTGTTTAAATAATGAAGATCAAAGGACACAAGTTGTATGAAAAAAAACGTACACATACTATCTTAGCTAACAATATTGGTCAGGCCAAGATATTTTAACTAAGTACACTAGATAACAATTTAATTTGCAGCCAAAGTTGTTAACTATTAAAAAAATTGAAGAATTTTCAACAATAAAAATGGCGTAAACTTAATAAGGCTCTCAAATTCAGTTGCCTTAAATGACAGGCAACTATTGAGTAGTCTATCTAAGAAACGAGTTGTTATCAAAAGCATCAGGGCTTCCCTGGTGGCGCAGTGGTTGAGAGTCCACCTGCCGATGCAGGGGACATGGGTTCGTGCCCCGGTCTGGGAAGATCCCACATGCCGCAGAGTGGCTGGGCCCGTGAGACATGGTCGCTGAGCCTGTGCGTCTGGAGCCTGTGCTCCGCAACAGGAGAGGCCACAACAGTGAGAGGCCCTAGGGCAAAAAAAAAAAAAAAAAAAGCATCATCTCTAGGTGAATGTCGACCAGAGATATGGGATCTTGAGTAACATTTTCATCAAAAAAGGCAGGAACTGCTAGTGCTGGAAGGAATCTGGCCTCTTTACTTTAGATATGGAATCTGTGACCAGAGAGGCTAACATGGCATCCAACATTGCACAGCAGCCGGTGGAGCAGCAGGACTTCCCCAGGTCTCTCAAGTAGCAATCCTTATTCTTCCTATTCTATCACATTGCCTCCCTCCGTGATCACATCCTGCTGGAACTTGATAAAGCCTTCTCTAACTCTGAAATGCATTTAGAATAGAACTTGCTTGTAGGTTGATAGTACAATTATTTGGATAAAATGTGGGGGATTGAGAGACTCCCGGGAGAGACCCCAAGTGGTGGTGCTTCATTCCTGAATGTTTAGAGCTCACAGTATTGGCGGGGAGGCAACTGGCCAGGGAGCAGCAGATCAGCATTCCTTTCTTGTTCTGGTGACAGCAGCTGCAGTGAAACTAAACAACCCACAGTAAATGCTCAGTAAACCAACTTTGCTGAGAAGCAATGTGGCAACACATAACAGGAGCCCAAAAATGTTCTTACTTAGTGCATTAATTACACACATAGAACTTATCCTAAGAAAATGCTCATAAATATAACTAATATCTATGTTTAAAATTTTTTCAGCACTGCAATTTTTTTTTTTTTTTTTTTTTTGGCCACGCTGCTCAGCTTGAGGGATCTCAGTTCCCCAAGCAGGGATTGAACCCGGGCCCTAGGCAGTGAAAGCATGGAGTTCTAACCACTGGACCGTCAGGGAATTCCCCTTTTTGCTTTATTTTAAATGGAGATCCTTTGTACTGTGAAGTTGCATTAGAAGAGCAGCAAAAAGCTGACATCAATGGCTGGGGCAGTGCAGACCAATTTCCTGGGGAAATCCGAAGGTCTGGGGCTTACCTGTTCAGGCCTGCCTTCTCCCATTTTATAGAGGCGGGTCTAAGGACCTGGAAGGAAGAAGGTGCCCAGAGAAGCAAGGACAGCAACACTGACACTGCTGCCTCTTTTTGAAACCAGGGAGGACTTATATCAAACACGTTCATTGAACCCACTGTTTAGGAACTCCTGCAGAGAGGAACTAAAAGGTATAAATGAGTCCTAGGGTAAATTCCAGCCCCAGATGTCCTATTTTCAAATGTGTGGCTCCCACGCTTTGGCTCTCAGTCACCTTATCTGTTAAATAGTAGGTTTAATATACTGGTCTGTAAGGTGTCTATCCTCTATACAACAAAAAGAAGACAACTGCGTTACGGAAATCCCATGAGTTCATCCTGCACGAGCCCCTTGTCCCCCACCTCCTGTGTTACACACCGTGAAATTGTTCAGCAAAGTATTTAAGTGGAAAACTGGCTGTCCAGGGGGGCAGCTGCATGGACCATGATTCCTGAGCAAGGTGCAGTTGCCTGGCATTTAACTGGAGCTTCCCCTTGGGAACTTGGGAAGTCCCTTCCCCATTCTGAACTTCAATTTTCATATCTCAAGAAATGAGGGATTTGGGTTGAATGGATGAAGGTCCTTTTCTACCAGAAATCTGGCTGTATTTCTCCTAGTCTCCTGACTCCTAGGGGCAAAGACCGTAGTTCAAGTGCATGGAATAAAGCTTGGCCTCCTTTCCCCTGGCTGCAGAATCCATTAGTATAATCAGAGGAGAGACAGCAGAGCTACACGCTGCTTCGAAGCTCAGTCCTACCACTCACTGTGTGATAAAATTCTTCACCTCTCAGTGGCTCCATTTCTCCATCTGTAAGTGAGGTTCCTATCTCAAAGTGTTCTTATGAGAATTAAATGAGTTAATGTTTGCAAAGCACTAAAAACAGTGCCTGGCACGTAGTGCTTTGTAAAGTGTTTTTTGAATAAATAAAATTTAGTACGTGAACTGAATCTCTTCATAACGCTAACAGCTTCTTGACTCCCCCTCCCCCCAGGCCCCAGCCTCTGTGTTCACCCCTTCCTAAAGCTCAGAGCTCTGAACCCCCAATCTCTCTACTTAAAGGCCTCCTACGGCTCCCAGGTTCCTCCAGGATGGAGCATTGATGCCTCAGCTGGAGACCCAGGCTCTTCACACAGGCCCTCCCAGAGGTCCAGAGATGCTAGGCCACTTCCTTTTATTTAAGGATCCCAGTTAATTGAAAAAAAATAAAAACAAACAAGCAAAAAAGGCACACCGAATTACGAAAATTGTGAGGCATTTTTTTTGTGTTTTTTTTTTTTTGCGGTACGCGGGCCTCTCACTGTTGTGGCCTCTCCCGCCGCGGAGCACAGGCTCCGGACGCGCAGGCCCACCGGCCATGGCCCACGGGCCCAGCCGCTCCGCGGCACGTGGGATCCTCCCGGACCGGGTCACGAACCGGCGTCCCCGGCATTGGCAAGCGGACTCCCAACCACTGCACCACCAGGGAAGCCATGTGGGGCATTTTTAATGTTATACTGAGCAAAGTCAAGCGTTAACCACTCCCACACCCCAGCGCAGATAAACCGTAATTACGCTGTTTCAAGATAATTGCCAAGGGTTCTCAGGCTCTTAACTTCCAGCTGCACAACTGGTGGAGCGGCGTGGCAAGGAGGCGGGAGTTCATCAGGTGGATCTCTGGAGGGTCAGCGTCGGGAGACTGGCGAGGACGCCCCCAACCCAAAGACGAGGCCCCTGGGACAACCCCTCTCCCCCCCCCCCCCCCCACAAAACCCCTCAATCTCCAACCCGCGGGCCCGGCAGGCCTCCCAGGCCGCGAGACCGGCCCTCCATGCACCCACTCACCCGGCTCGGCCGAGCCCACCCTACCTTAGTAGCCCAGGGCGCCCGCGCACCCGGTGCCGCCGCCCCGCGAGCCGGGACCCGCACCCAGGAGCCTACACAGGAACCGTTATCTTGCCCGCGGCGCCCCCTGTGAGCTACAGGCGTGAGTCGGAGAGTGGGGTCCGGCGGCGGCGACCCCCGCAAAGAGCCCGCGAGGGGGCGCGCGTCCCCGCGCTCAGCCGGCCTGCCACGACCCTCCTGCAGCGCCCGCCCGCGCGGGGCCGGCGGGAAGGCGGGGACTCGGTCCCCGCGCCACGCGGCTCGACCAATAGAAGCGCGCGCAGCGGGGCTCGGCGCCGACCACCTCGGTTGCTGAAAACCCGACGCGCGGGCGGCGGGCTCTAGGCGGGCGCCAGCGGACCGGCTCCCAGAGCACTCGAGGCCGGTGCGCGCTACCCCGCGGGTACCGTGCGCGCGCCTGACCTCCCTTGCCCAGTCGGTGCGCGGCATCGCCCGGCCCCGATGGCCCCCGAGACCCCGGCCCAGGGGCCTATCCCGCGCTACTTCACCTGGGACGAGGTGGCGCAGCGCTCGGGACGCGACAAAGAGCGGTGGCTCGTGATTGACCGGAAGGTGTACAACATCAGCGAGTTCACCCGCCAGCACCCCGGGGGCTCCCGGGTCATCAGCCACTACGCGGGTCAGGACGCCACGGTGAGCGCTGCCAGTCCAGGGAACGGGAGGAGGCGGGGCCGGGCGGTCGGAGCCTGGGGCTCAGCGCGCGAGACAAGAGATTTGGCACTCAGGGCCGAATACTCTAATTCGGGGAAAAGCCGGGAGGCGCAGGAGCGTCCCGGTTGCCAGGTGATTGGGTGTGCTGCGAAAACGGGATGCAAGGGCAGGAGAGAGGCTGCGAAAAGTGGAGTCTGGGGAGTAGGGAGGGAGGGAGGCCGGCAACGTGCACGCACAAACAAAGGGCCGCGCCATCTGTCTGTGCGCTCCGTCTGCTGCCCGGAGTCTGCGGTCTCCAGGCGTGGGCAGTCCCCGGAGCAGGGGTAGGAGAGAGGACAGCGGGGATGTGGAACCCCCGGACGGCGGCACTGCCGAGACCAAGGGAGGAGGGGTCAGTGGCAGGGAGAGGGATCAAGTCTTGACCTGACTTGGTGGCTGGGAGGGAAGCGCAGACGCGTCTGGGCCGAGCATGCCGGACTAGCCTGGCGAGCGTGAGCAGGGCAGAGAACGAGGGAACCACACTCGGGGATTTTCCTGAGCGGGGAAGCCACCTAGTGCCCGCTGCCTTAGGAACCCCTGCACAGGGTGAAGACCGGAGGGTGGGGAAGGGGCAGCACCGGCCAGAGAGGGCTAGCGCCTGCTCTTGCACAAAAAAGAGTGGGAGCAACGTGCTGAAGGGGGTGGGGCTGCATCAGCATACACTTAGCGAGGGCCCTGGAACAGTCCTGGAATCCTGTGGGGAGGTCACTCAGCCTCAGGCCAGCAGCTGTTTGCAGTCCTGGGCTGTAGGCCCCGTGCTGGGTCGCATCCCTCCTCCCTCAGGCCTCACCGCGGGCCAGCGCGCGTCCCAGCCCCGATTCTGTTGCTTCCCTCTCTAGACGACCTGTTCTCGGAACTAAAGCACCTAGCACTTCCCTTCTGGCTTTGAGAGCTGGGGGTCCACTCCTTGGGACCCAAACATTGGAGCGTTCGCTTCGCCGTGTCCCCTCCCCCTATATCCTTCCCCCATCCTTCGCCTAGCGGCGTGACCCCTTCCACTGTCCCCAGCTTTCTCCCTGCCATCTCGGAGCGCGCCTCGGGCCACTAGGGTTCCCGTGATGTGGCGGTGCAGCCTAACACGGTAAGGACCCGCCGGTCCCTCCGACGCGGCTGGCCTGGGAGTCGAGGCCTGAGCCTGTGCTCGTCTCAGGAGTGACCACTGGGGAGCTCAGGCAGTGGCCGAAGGTGAAGGTGTGGACTGGCGCATGCGTAGACGGAGCAGGCTTCCTGCCGTGTGATTTAGGGCCGGGGCCGGCCGCAGCGGAGACCGCGATTGGTCCGGATGTGTGGTGCCACCGGCCGCCGGCTCCGCCCCGCCTCCCTCCGCCTCCAAGCTTGTGGCTTTGGGCCTGGGGCTGTCTGACCTTCAGGACATTAATCTCTTAATCTAGTCGCTGAGGACCCCACCTTGCGTAACCAAAATTAGTGCCCTAGGGCAGGGGGTGTGCAGAGTGGGAAGGGAAATATGGAACCCCAACCAGAACAGCAGCGGAGGGAAGGGGGAGAAATGCAAGAGTCCTCCAGTTGGACACAGGGAGTCTCCCTCAGCACATTTCATGAGACACCTACAGGAGAGGCCAGCCCAGGCAGGTCTTTCTGTGGTCGCCCTACCCGTGCTTCCTATTCCTTGGCATGGTACCCTTCTTCCTAGAACACAGTTGTTGGGTGATCCTGAGCTGTGGACACCAGGGACAGGTCTGAGCACTCTCAAAGGGCAGCTGCCTGGAGGGGGGTGGGGTCTGTTTGAACTTGGGTACAGCCTCCTTGCTGGATCAGGAGGATGGTCCTTGGTGTGAGCCCTCCACAAATCTTGGGGGGGCCGGGCTGACTTCCTCACTGTTCTGCCTTCTCCCCAAACTTGCAGGATCCCTTTGTGGCGTTTCACATCAACAAGGGCCTTGTGAGGAAGTATATGAACTCTCTCCTGATTGGAGAACTGTCTCCGGAGCAGCCCAGCTTTGAGCCCACTAAGAATGTGAGACCCCGTTTGCTGTTTGGAGATCCTGCAGTTGTTGAGGGGCAAAGGGTAGAAGGAAGCCCTAGATATGATCACAGGGGACCACAGTCAGTAGTTCTTGGGAATCTCGAGATCCTTGCTTCTCCTGCATAGTTATTGGGTTGCAGGGCTTTGGAACCTGTGGTTCTCACAAGGCCACCACCACCATCCCCATCCTCAACGTGAGACCTATCGACCGAGCACTTATTCTGTGCCAAGCATAACATCATATAATCCACACACAGTTACAGATGAGAAAACTGAGTCTCAGAGAGGTTAAGCAACTCGGCCAAGGATCACACCATTACTAAGTGGCAGAGCAGTGGCTTGAATGAATTCTGTTTAACTCCAAAGACCACATGCTCTTAGACTTAATCCCATATCACCTTCTGTCATCCCTCCTCAGCATTGTGGTATTTTTACCTAGGACCGTGGGCTTCCCTCAGCTACCTTGGTGGGGGGGGCCTTGAGCTTAAGAGGGTCCTTGGCTCCAGTGCTGGGTTGCATCTGGGGAGAATAACACCCTTTCCATCTCCACTCTTCTACAGAAAGAGCTGACTGAGGAGTTCCGGGCGCTGCAGGCCACGGTGGAGCGGATGGGGCTCATGAAGGCGAACCCTGTCTTCTTCCTGCTGTACCTGCTGCACATCCTGCTGCTGGATGTTGCTGCCTGGCTCACTCTTTGGCTCTTTGGGACATCCTTCCTGCCCTTCCTCCTCTGTGCAGTGCTGCTCGGCACAGTTCAGGTGAGAGCCCTGGGCTTGTCGAGAACACAGCCAGCTCAGCTTCCGTGGGGAAAATTCTTTGTACCCCTCAGGAGGCCAAGGAGCCCTCTGTCCAGGGCAGAGCTGAGGACACGTGGTAGCGTTGGTGCAGAAAGAGCACACATTGCGTCATCTGTGGCTTTCATCTGCTCGTCTTCACCACATGTGCACCTTCCTTTCTCCCACTGCCTCTCCAGCCACTTCTCCCAGGGCTCCCTTCTTCCCGTGGCATTTCTCCTCTGAAACTTCACATTCAGGTTCTGTCACAGTCCAGGTGTGCCAAGAACCAAGGTTCTGGTTTCTCAGCTGGGGCCCTAATACTTGGCTGTCAGAACCCATTAGTTAAGCCTTCTACTTGCCTGAGTTTGTCACTCTGTCCTGTTCTGTAGTTTGGATGTTCAGTCCATTGGAAGTCACAGAACTCCAGAGCTGGGGACACCAAAGAACAGGGAAAGGGTAGTGATTTGCCCTAGCTCTCGTGTGAGTCAGTGGCGGAGCCAGAAGCAGGACCCAGGCTTCCTGACTCCTTTCCTGATGTGCTCAGTTAGGCCAGCACAGGCCTAGGTAGATGAAGGACGAGGGAGAGGCCGAGTCAGTTGAGACAGATGCGGGGCTGGTGGGCTGCTCTCAGCGCTAGCCTTTCTCACCCAGGCCCAGGCTGGCTGGCTGCAGCATGACTTTGGACACCTGTCCGTCTTCAGCACCTCTACATGGAACCACCTGCTACATCATTTCGTGATTGGCCACCTGAAGGTCAATGGGACGGGGAGGGACTCTGTGAAACTCCAGTCAACAATGGGCTGCCTGTGGGAGGGGGGGCACCAGGCTTCCATACTCATGTCCCGCTTTTCTGTAGGGGGCCCCTGCCAGTTGGTGGAACCACCTGCACTTCCAGCACCATGCCAAGCCCAACTGCTTCCGCAAAGACCCGGACATCAACATGCACCCCTTCTTCTTTGCCTTGGGGAAGATCCTCTCTGTGGAGGTGAGCAGAGGTATTGGTGAAGGTCTCGGAGAATGGGAACCAGGCAGCACACAGGGCTTGCAGGGAAGTACTCACAATGCTGTCAGTGTGGGCAAGACATTGGGGGCCGGGCTGGCTGGCTGTTTGGAAGTTGTGGGACGCCACAGGCAGTAAGCAGGCTGCCCAGGACACTCACCTGTCCTCCCTCATGAGTTCAAGTCAGCAAATAGCTGTTGCAGAAAGGTACCCCACGCTGCTAAGGACCCAAAGGATGACCAGATTGCTGTGCAAACCCTGCTTGGCCTTGAAGGTGATGGATGGCCTCCTTGCAGGTGCTTTTTAGACACTCCCACCCCAGGCAGTCAGCCCCCTGCACTTTGTAATCCTCTCTCTTACGCAACGGCTACACTGGCTTACTCTTCTCTGATGCCCATTATCTAGAATATTCATTCACTGAGTAATTCTTCCCACCCGCCTGATCCTAGCCTGACTTTCAGGGTGGTCAGCACTGGGTTTGAGTTGTCACCTGAGGGTGTGAGCAACCATTATAATGCAGCTGCTAAAGCCTGGGGGTGGGTGGAGATCTGGTGAGCCTTCAGTGAGTGCAAAGTGATGGACGCTGGGAGTGGGCAGGGGAGTTCTTTACAAAGTTAATTTAGGGCTTCCCTGGTGGCGCAGTGGTTGAGAGTCTGCCTGCCGATGCAGGGGACATGGGTTCGTGCCCTGGTCTGGGAAGATCCCACCTGCCGCGGAGCGGCTGGGCCTGTGAGCCATGGCCACTGGGCCTGCGCGTCCGGAGCCTGTGCTCTGCAACGGGAGAGGCCACAACAGTGAGAGGCCCGCGTACCGCTAAAAAAAAAAAAAAAAGAAAAAGAAAAACAGTAGATGGACTCATGAAAGAAGGGTGAGCTGGCATTCTGCTCTGGGGTAGAGTCCCTCCTGTGCCCTGTGGTCATCTGGTGGCCAGAACTGACCAGGACACGGGGAACAGAAGGAGCCATGACTCGAACACGAGCGCAGAGCTTCGCGGTCATGGTTGTGAGAGCTCCCGCTAGGGGACCCGGACTGACCGGCTGGCCTGGCAGCCCCAGCCTGTCTCTACGGCCGCTCAGCTTACAAAATCACCACCAGCCGCTGGGGAAAACCTTGCCAGAGCCTTCAGATTGCCAAGCTGATTTTGGTAATCTTTCCACAAATATTTGCCAAACTGTGCTTAGCTTTCAAGGGATTTTATAAAGCTCATGTTGACATTTGAAAAGACCGAAAGATTTGGAGAAGGTCAGGGGCTGGATGTAGAGGGGATCCTGGCCCGGGTAAGGGTAAAAATTGTTGTCTGTGGAGACCCTGGTGTCAAAAGAGTACCAGATGGAGAAAGGAAGGGGAGGTGGAGGGGCCTGGAAACCTGACAAGGGCGTCTCGGGCTGAGCACGAGGTGTACTGAGGACCTGCAGGCTCCGCTGTGCCCAGGCCTCGTGTGGGTGTGGGCCACCGAGCTGCGTCCACGCTGTGGCGCGCTTGGCAAATCCAGCAGCCCGGGCTTCACGCGCCAGGAGCTGGAGGTAAGGCTGGGCTTGTTGGAGCCTTCCGTGGCGCCAGCAAGCTGACGGCCCCCGCAGGAGGCCTCGGCTCCTGAGCAGGGAGAAGCCAAGGTCACGGGGAGGGGAATGGGTGACTGGCCTGTGGGGGCTGATGTGTGTTTGCTTTCCTTCACAGCTTGGGAAACAGAAGAAAAAGTACATGCCGTACAACCACCAGCACAGATACTTCTTCCTGAGTGAGTGTCCTCGTCCAGCCCCAGGGGGCGGGGCTTGCGATGCTGCCGCGGGACTGCGGTACTTGAAGTGAAGGCTGGAGGATCTCCACCTGGAACAGGGTGCCCCCTGCAAGGGGACAGTCTACCTTCTCAAGGGGCAAAGGCAAGAGTTAGGCTAATGTTTGGTCAAAGGTCACTTGTGTTGGGGGCAAACTAGTTCCTCCAGGCCCACCCTGGCTTCCACAAGGGAACTGAATGGTGGGGGGCCATCCCGACTAAGTCTGAAACCTCACTTTAAATCTTGTCAAACAGCCCAGGGCTAAGGTGACGCAGTGGGACACAGTCTAACACCCAGAAGGACAAAGGTAGATAGACTAGCAATGGGAGGATTGGATCTGAAGAGGGAGCTGGGGAGAAAACATTGCTGTGGTTGTCTTAAGCTCTTTCTCAAGACTGCTGTGTATATTCCCTGCTTTAAAAATCTCCATAATGTCTAAAATTTTTTAAACCCTTTCAAAAATTCAAATTTTTAAAGGAAAGGAGGGGATGAGTCCATTGATCCCATTTTTGTTCAAAGGAATTTTTTTTTTTTTTTTTTTTTTTTGCGGTACGCAGGCCTCTCACTATTGCGGCCTCTCCCGTTGCGGAGCACAGGCTCCGGACGCGCAGGCCCAGCGGCCATGGCTCACGGGCCCAGCCGCTCCACGGCATGTGGGATCTTCCCAGACCGGGGCACGAACCCATGTCCCCTGCCTCGGCAGGCGGACTCTCAACCACTGCGCCACCAGGGAAGTCCCAGAGCAGTACCTTTTTAAAGGCACAGGAGCAGAGCAAGTTCCATGCGTGGAGCTTGTCTCCCCAGCTATCCTTTTCCATGGGAGAGAATGCCACGTTCCCCCCACCTCACCCTCTCAGCATCCACTGGGAGGTTCTGCTTTCTTCAGACTTGCATTCATGGCCACCTCCAGCGCCCGTCGGTTCCAATGGATTGAGGACTGCCGAGGCAGCTGGAGGGGCAACAGGAGATGGCAGAGGGGCAGCCCTGTGCTGGAGGCCATCTGTCCAGCACCAGCTGGCCCTTTAGTGACACTTTAGTGCTGCTCACACCTCCCCCCTTGTGTCCATTTCCTCCCCAGTTGGGCCCCCAGCCTTGCTGCCTCTCTACTTCCAGTGGTATATTTTCTATTTTGTTATCCAGAGGAAGAAGTGGGTGGTAAGTATCCATGGCCCCCACTTCCTTTGTCTCCAGTACCCTGAGGGATGGGAAGGGGGTTCTCCAGGGGAAATCCCACTAAGATTTACTCCAGGCCTAATTTAGAGCAAAGTAACAGAACCAGGTATAGACCCTTCCTTATCTCTAGGTGAGATGACTTGGGCTCAGCAGGCAACCTGACTCCTGATGCCCTATTTAATTCAGCGAGTTATCTCCTGAGGTTATTGTGTTCGGCATAAAGGGGCCAGGCTGGGGAGGGGGAAGATGAATGAGAGACGGCACCTTCACTCGGGAAACTTCTGATGAAACAGGATGTGGTTGACACCAGACAGGAGGTACAGGCAGCAGCTTTGGGGATTCCGAAAGGGGCCTGACTGCCTCTGGCTGGATGGGAGGCATCAGAAAGGACTTTGCAAAGTCCCTTACCTAGCTGGCCTTGGAGGACAGGCGGAGGCAGGGGAGGTGGGATGGACTCTGAGCAGAGAAGCCGGGAATTAAGGGGCGAATCTGGTCACCGGACATGTGGTGGAGGACTTGGGTGTCAGGGGAGGAGGGTGGTGCAGAAAACTCATCAGCGATTTGATCAGGGCACTGGCACAGACTCAGCCACGATCCTGGAAGACTCACTTGGCAGCGTGATGAAGGGGTGAAGGATGGAGATGGGTTGGGAGGAAGTGGAGGCAGGGAGACCTGGCACCTGTGAAGGAAACAGGCAAGGAGGGCTGGGGGCGCCACTAGGAACGGAGCGGAGCTAGATGGTGCCGGACAGGGCAGCTGGGAGAGGCTGCCGTGAGCACTCCAGTGTCAGGACCGGGGAGGATGGCTGCTCCACGCAGAGGAACAAGTGCCGTGAGAGGAGAGGTGCTTTGTGCCGTCACAGGGCTCTGCCTCTCGCTGCAGGACTTGGCCTGGATGATCAGCTTCTACGTCCGCATCTTCCTCACTTACGTGCCGCTGCTGGGACTGAAAGGCTTCCTGGGCCTTTTCTTCATGGTCAGGTAGTACTTGATGGGGGAGGAGGGAGCGGCGCAGAGATGTGTGGGAGTAACCAGTCTGGTCTGGGGGCGTTGGCTGGGGAGGGTGGCGGGGTTGGAGCAGCTTCTGAGCGAGAGTCAGAACTCTGGGCTCTGCTTGTACTGGTTTTGTCTGGGTGCCATGTCCACCAGGTTCCTGGAAAGCAACTGGTTTGTTTGGGTGACACAGATGAACCACATCCCCATGCACATTGATTACGACAGGAACGTGGACTGGGTCTCCACCCAGGTGAGGGACAGTCACTTGGAAGACCTGGGCACAACTAATAAGAAGGGTGGGTGGGCACAGACCCAGGGTAGGGGGTGGGCGGTGGTTGACAACAGACGCTCCCAAACCTTGCCTCGTTAGCCTGAAGCTTCTCTCCTGCCACCACGTGGAGAAGGGAGTGACCAGGGACAGGCCAGCTTTGCCTGGAGAAGGCTGGGCTGGCCTTTCCATCTGGTACCCAGAGCCATGCTCCCCCAACCTTCTCCTCCAGCTCCAGGCAACATGCAATGTCCATAAGTCGGCCTTCAATGACTGGTTCAGTGGCCACCTCAACTTCCAGATTGAGCACCAGTGAGTAGGGAGGCCTGGGAAGCAGGGACCTGGGGAGGGTCCACGTAGGAGGGGGATGGGGGGGCCACAGGAGCTGGAGCCACTGACTGTCCCCTGTTCTCCGTGAAGTCTTTTCCCCACGATGCCTCGACACAATTACCACAAAGCGGCTCCCCTGGTGCAGTCCCTGTGTGCCAAGCATGGCGTAGAGTACCAGTCCAAGCCCCTGTTCTCAGCCTTTGCTGACATTGTCCAGTGAGTATCTGAGCCTAGGAAAAGGGCTGGGAGGGCTGGAAGAGGGCAGGGCAGTGGGGTCAGTGGTGAAGTATGGGGTGGGAGCCACAGGAAGGTGTCCCCAGCTCGTCTGGAATGGAGGTCACCAAGGCCAAGGCCAGGTGCTCTGTTGGTCTTGTGGCCAGTTTGGGCCTTTGCTCTCAGTGCCATGGCCCAAGCGCTTTCTCAGAAGCAAAGGGGAGGCGAGTGCTCAAGTCAAGGGGGCCTTACATCACCTCTGGAAGGGCCTCACTGCTGCACTTCTGGTGGGTATGGCTTTGGGGCTCCTCTCCACTCTGTCTCCCTCACCGTCTGCTCCCATCTTGTCCCCTCAGCTCACTGAGAGAGTCCGGGCAGCTCTGGCTAGATGCCTATCTCCACCAGTAAGAGCAGCCTCCCATCTGGAAGAAGAGCCTTGGAGCCAAAGCAGAGGGGGGCTTGGGGACAATGCCACTACAATCCTAATGTTCAGAGGGGGTGGGTTTGAGGAGATAAAGGCTCTGACTCAAACCCCTCCCCTTTATCTTCAAGGCACAGATCTAAGACCCAAAGAGGGGTGCGCAAGCCCCCTGGAAGGAGGGGTGGAGCTGTTGGGACAGGGATGTGAAAGTTTTGTTTCCTTTTTTGTTTAGCAGATGCAAGTGGTTGGTGGGCAAAGAGGGAGTCAGGAGGGTGTTAGAATAGGGAGGGTCTACTGAGCCCAGAAATCAGGAAGAGATTTAGCACTAAAATTCCACCCAGGGGACTTCCCTGGCGGTCCAATGGTTAAAACTCCGTGCTTCCAATGCAGGGGGCGCAGGTTCAATCCCTGGTTGGGGAACGAAGACCCCACATGCCGCACGGTGTGGCCAAAAAAAAAAAATTCCATCCAGGAAAGGGAGGAGCTCATCCCACTGGTCCACTTCTCAGTGCCTTCTCCACTCTCGCTTGCAAACCTCAGAAGTTCGCAGGCTGGAGGAGGACAGAGCAGCTCAACCTTCTGGGCAAGATTTAGAAAGGAAGCATTAGCGCCTGAGGCCCGGCAGCTTGGCTCACTCTAGGGCTAGGTGTGACCCATGTCTGCCTCAGGCTCCTGGAGAAGCAATTTTTCCACTTTTAGAAGCAGGGAGGGCAAAGGCCAGGGCTGTGGTGTCAGAGGCATCTGGCCCTGAAGGATGCTGCCACTACAGGATTTGGTCCCGCATTCCATCCAGGGTACCAAAGGAGCATGAGGTCCCAGGGCTTGCCAAAACAGCCAGCAGAGAGTCGCTGGCCATTAAAAATCCTTTCAGCTTTTGACCACCACCCGAGGGAGAGCACACTCCTAGGATGGGGGGTCTACTTCTCGCTCCATAAGCAGGTGGGCAGACGGGCGCTTAGTCTTCTCCTCCACAGAAACAAACGGGGGCTCCCAGGGGTTTCCCTTTGCTCCCCAACCTGTAATTCCAAATTTAATAAAGTAGCAGTTAGTGAGCACAAGTGACCAAGCTGGGAGAGGGTGAATTAGCAGTCATGACGAAAACACAGGGTTCAGTCATAAAGAATATAAGGGCCGTAAGAGATTTTCCATCACCTAAATTATGTAGCATTACTTCTGAGCAGGAGCAATGGGTTAAGTGTAATGACTTCATAGTTCTAACCGGAAACAGGAAGGAGAAAACGCAGACGTTTGTGATCTCATGGCTGCCCTTCAGCATCCTTCCTCTGGCAATTCTGTCCAAGTACCTTTCTCTGCTGGAGACCAGGTAGGAATTTAGGAGAATCTCTTAAAGGTATATCAGTCTAATACTGAAATACAATTTTTTTAATCTCCGGTTTTTTTTAAAAGATAGAAACAGTTTAACCCATCTCTAGAGAGTGAACACAGGACTGTGCCCCATGGGTTGCCAGCGTTCACACCCTTTCCCCTTCCCACACCCACAGCCTTGCAGGTGAGGTGAGGGGATCATTCACTTGTCCCAACAGCATCTACTCGAAGCATATTGAGCATTTTGGACACTGGAAAGAAAGTACCTTAAACTACAAGGAAAAAGCAGAGACCTGGGAGAATTCATATTTAGTTTAGGAAAGGAACGGCAAGGAGATGAGAATGGTAATCAGGGAGATGAAGGTCCTAAGGCATGTTGGGGTGGGATTAGAGGCACCACCTAACGGGAAGGCTGTTGTGATTACTCAGAGGTTTGTCAAAACAAAGACAGACTTAAACACACACACGCACACACGGCAGAACAGGTTACAGAAGATTTTAGATCTTTTCCATTTGGGCAGAACCTGGCTTGAAACAGTCTGGGTAGAACAATTAGGAGCAGAATTGGAGAGTTCTACTTTCACTGGCGCCTTCATTCCAGAACAGGTGCTGAACCCAGCCCATCAAGCCATCTGGCTTTGGGCCCAGGCTGCCCGATCTGAGCAGAGCCAGTGAAACTTACTGAGCCAAGTCCAAGCCCTCAAAGCACCTCAACCACTGTGGCCTTCTCTCCTTAGCCTGGACCAGTGTGGTCTCACATGGCCACCAAGGGACAGACTAGTGACAAAAAGCTCAGACGTCGCAAGGTAACATGAGTGATCTCAAATCCAAACAATGACATGAGAAAACAGAATTAGAGAGGATAAGCTGCCTCTGGTCATAGATGTGGCAGAACTAACATTTGAACTCACTTTGTAAAAACTCCAACTTCTATGCTTACCTTTGTGACTTTCATCTTCCTACCACTTTGCCAGAGGCATTTTCATCAGACCCAATATCATCCTTTCTGTGTGTGCCAGTTTTGTTACCACACGCCAATGGAGTAAAACAGAAATAAAGGTAATTTTGACCAAACGAAGGCTGTTATAATCCACGATCCTCTCCTGCACCTGTTGACAGGAGTCCCTGTACCTCTGCTACAAGTTACTATCCGACTCTCTCACTTCTTTCTGAATATGAGTCCCCATACTGACTCCCCCTTGCCTAAGCCCCTTGGGGCAGAGGGAGGGTCATCAGGCTGCTGTAGAAACACCAAGGCACAGGTGGACTGTGGCAAGGAGAAGAAAGGCCAGCCCATTCCCATGATACCTACATGTTCCAATGCTAGACTGCCTGTGTGCGCTAGCCCATTCTAGTGTTTAGTGCACTGCTTCCTACTACCATGAGGCAATGCCCTCACCCTTTTAAACTCTGATAGTCTGTGTAGGTAGTCTTCATAAGTTTCCTTTTTGCCTAAATCTCTGTAAGGCGTAATACCTCAGAGCTGGACTGCAAAGCAATGCCCTTTTAACACTGCCCTACTAGAACAGCTCTCCTCTCCAAGCGAGAATATTAGAAATGTGCTAGGGCTTCCCTGGTGGCGCAATGGTTAAGAATCCGCCCGGCAATGCAGGGGACACAGGCTCGAGCCCTGATCTGGGAAGATCCCACATGCCGTGGAGCAGCTAATGCGCCACAACTACTGAGCGTGCACTCTGGAGCCCGCGAGCCACAACTACTGAGCCTGTGTGCCTAGAGCACATGCTCTGCAATGAGAAGCCACCGCAATGAGAAACCTGCATGCCGCAATGAAGAGTAGCCCCTGCTCGCCGCAACTAGAGAAAGCCCGTGCAGCTACGAAGACCCAGTGCAGCCAAAATAAATTTATATTTTAAAAAATGTGCTAAGTAGGATTTGCAGGATTGATTTTCCCTGCAGTGGTTAATAAACTGGAAAAGACCAGGTAACTCAACTTCAAAAATAAGAGGAAAACAAACCACACACTACCTGCTACCACAGGGGACAGGCCCTTAACTAGAGCTACTGCGCTGAGGTGGTAACACCTAAGTCTTCCCACCTCAGCCCCATCACCATTACTGCAGGCTTAGAATTGAATTACCTGAATGAGAAAATGGAGCTCAGGAAAATTCCCTGGCGGTCCGGTGGTTAGGACTCCACGCTTCCGCTGCAGGGGGCACAGGTTTGATCCCTGGTCGGGGACTGAAGATCTTGCATGCTGCGTGGTGCAGCCAAAAAAAAAAAAACAATAAAAAAAACGGAGCTCAAATAAGTTGTGTGGCTTGCTTCAATCTGGAAAACTGGTTTCATTTGTCAACTGCTAGAGACAGAGCAGTGAACAGATACTAAGATCGAGAGTTTGAAAACTACTGGTCTTCAGTCCTACCTGCTTAATCTGTTGAAATATTGTCAACTTAAATTTCAGACCACTTAAGTGTCCTTGGTTAACTTTAAATGGCAGTAAGTGATAGGAATGCTACAAAATTAGAAACTCAAACAGGACAGCCCCCTATCAAGTTTTATTAGGATTATAAAAATTTCAGAGTACAAAAACATCCCACCTCTACGAAAAACAGTAACCTGAAGCTGACGTCACAAAGGGAACAAAAAGGGATTTTCGAATGGCAGCTTTCACGATTTACAAACTGGTAAATGCTTGGATGCTATGAAGTAGTTGATCTAAATTGTGAGGATTTCTCAGAGGAGCTCCTTTATCTCACACAGTAGGTGGAAAACTAGAAATTCGTTCAATTTATTAAAACTCCTTTCCCAGCAAGATAAGGTAGGCATCATCCTCTAAATGGCTGAAGTACTGCCAAAGCCGCTTTGACCATTCTATGGGGCACAGTGCCATCTTGTGGCCACTCAAACCACCCATTACTACAGTGCAATTCCAGCATGTTAACTTGGAGTGAAAAGAACATTTTAAACTGCCTGAAACCTGAGGCACTTGAGATGTCTTCAAATGTTCTCAAAGAACAGGATATTCTGGTTACTTTTATAATTTTATTGACTCTTTTCTCCTCATATCTTTCAAAACAAAAAACCCAGCATCTTATCCCAAAGTTTCAACTCAATTAACTGCCTCAGAGAGGCCACGTGAAGCACCACCACTTTATGCCTCTGAATAACCACTGTAAAGACTAGAGTTATGTACATAGCAAGTTCAGGTTTCTGCCCACCTTAGGACACACAGCTGGTAATCAAACCCTTGTTGCCAACTCCAGGGACTCTGCCTGTCTTATGTCCCGGCAGCTCTTCGCGCCTGTTTAAGACTGCATCTTCCTGATGGCTACCCTTTAGGGTGGGTCAAGGCTGAGCCAAAGAGCACAGTCTAGTCCCCCAGTCACCTCCCACCAGCCCCCAGTTGCCCAGGCAGGAAATCATTTCCAGTCTTTTGTCTCCACCATTTATCTCCCTCTTTCTTCTTCAAAACTTGTTGCTATCGCTTTCATGTAACAATGGATTCAGTGTCCATTAAATGGCCTGAGAGGCGGCTTCAGCCTGACATACTTTTCCTGAGCTAAAAAAGAAAAAAACAACAAACCTCTGTGGCCTTTCTGCCATGAGATCACGTAACAAAGGGAAAAGCACTACTGAGCAGGGTGGTGCTAGGGAAGCAATGCAAGGCCCTCCCCACCCCCACGGAGGTTTCTCCAGCGCCAGCTCTTGCGGGGACAACACGGCAGATATTCTGGGGTCAAGGAGGTATAATGAAGGGAAACCCGTTTATTTTCCCCTTTTGAACTTCCCTGCTGCCCCAGTCTTGGCCTTCTTCTTAGCGGACCCCTTGGGTTCTGGCTCCTTGCGCTTAGCTGAAGAGAGGGAGCCGGTCACCTTGAAGAAATCATCCAGGCGGCCCTGGGTGCTGCCCTGGCGGCTCTTGCTCAGCCTCCTGACCCCGCTGCGGATTCGCTCCTCGGAGAACTGCTTTTCACCACACATGAACTTGACGAGCTCTTCTTCGTTCGGCTCGCTCCACTTCAGCTCCACAGACTCCGGGTCCAGCACCTCGGGCTCCAGGAAGAGCTGCTGGGCCTCCTTGTGGAGCCAGTTTTCCGGCACAGGGTACTTGTTGGGGTCGAGCCGACGCAGGATCTCCTCGATGCTCTTGTGCTTCTGGATGAGGTCCACGGCCCGCTTGGGCCCAATGCCCCGAATGGTCTCACAGTAGTCACTGCCCAGCAGGATGCACAGATCCACAAACTGCTCCTGGTTCAGGCCCAGCTCCTGCAGAACCCGGCTCAGGTGGAACTCCTGGATGGGCAGCTTCTTGGCCTCGCTAGCAGTCAGGTGCCGCATGAGCACGGGGCTGCCAAAGGTCAGGCAATCCATGTCCTCGGTGGCTGCGGCGTAGACTCTGCCGGCCTTCACCAGGGCGGCGCAGCTGGCCTCAGCCTCGCTGGGCGCATCGAGGTATGGGATGCCCATGAGGCTCAGGAGATGCTTGCACTCATCATTGTGCTGCTTGGTGACCTTCACCAGCCGCTTCGTAAACTTCTCCACCTCCCCTTCGGCCCCAGCAGCCTGGGCCTGCTGCAGCTGCTTCTCCGCCTCAGCCCGCCGCTCGCTGCGTTTGGCCAGCTCCCCTGACTTCAGCTGTGGCGGCTTGCCGTCAAAAACGTACACGGGCTTGATGCCGTTCTCCATCATTCGGATGGTGCGATAGAACATGCCCATCAGGTGGCTGGTGGTCTCACCCTCCTCATTCTGCAGCACATCCCCCCCTTGACGAACAGCTATTAGGAACTGATAAATGCTCATGGAGGCATCGATAGCCACCTTGCGGCCAAAGTAGCTCTTGATGTCATTCTCCCGGATGGCACTGGGGGCCACGTCGGCAATCAGTTTGGCCAGTCCTTGAATTCCCATAGCAATACAGAGGGACAGCTAAAAGAGAAAGGCAGGTAAGACAAGGAGGAACTTAAAGGATGCAAAAGGAGGAAGGGTTACCAGGGGTGCTATCTCACCCACTTCACGCCCTCGGCTAAACGTATCTAGCACAACAAAACGACACCAAGTCAGCACCTCGGAAGATGAAAGAACAAGACAGGCTCCCATCGTCAGGAAACGTACAGTCTAGTAAGGAAGTCCTCTCAATTCATACTAAGGCCTCCTGAGAGTTAACTAACAGACAAAAACCCCGACAAAGATTAAGTGCTCCGTAAACGTTTTCCCTGCAGAACCCACTCGATCCTTTGGTTCGTGCCTCAAGCTGCCTGCTTTGCTAGAACGTGTACCGAGGGGACAATGCCTCGTTAGCCGGGGCATCCTCCCCCTGCGTCCGACAAACGCAGGCAGGAAAGGGATGTGAACGAGTGTAGCTCAAAACAATGTCTCCCCTCCAGGAGCTTAGTCACAATACACAACGACCTCATGAGCTGGGAATTATCTTCTTTCTACAAATGATGAAAGAGGCTCGGAAGTTAAGCGACTGGCCCCGGGCTCAGAGCGGGAAAAGTGGCGGGCCCGCCTGACCGCGAATCCCGCGCTCGCTCCGCCCCGCCCGCGGCAGCCGCCGGCCTTCCCCAGCACCCGGGGCAAAACGGCCCGCCGCTCTCGGAGACGCTTCCGGAAGGGCTCACCTGGCCTCTGGAGCGCTCCGGCGTGGCCCAGGACAGATCTCAGCCCAACTCGCTCCTCAGCCCCGCCGCCTCCTCCGCACTAGCCGCTGATACACTCTAGCTCCGCCGCCTTCCAAAGCCCGCGCTCCCGTCACGTGACGTGCTGCGGCGCACAGCCTCCTGGGAAGTGTAGTACATGCCCCGGCCCTCTCGGCCAGCTTCTCTCACGACAAACAGTCCCGCCAGGGTGAACGGACTCGCTCAGCGAGCCGACCCTACCCTTCTCTACCGCTTGCCCCCACTCCACCCCGGTCGCCCCGCAGGCCTCAGATCCCGCCACACCCGAAACCACACGACTGCAAATCCCACAATGCCACCTGTGCAGCTGCACTTCCTCTTCCGGCTGAACAGCGCGCCTGCTCCTGCCGACGTGTTCTTCCGGTGGCTGAGCGGCGGATTACCCTGTGTCCGGCAAAATGGTGAGAGGGTTGAGGGGAGTTCCGGATGGGACTTCGGGGACCCCTCGGGGCCCGTCCCGCGCCCTGTTTTTTCTCGCAGAAGCCTCAGATGTCCAAGGTCCAGAGGGCTGGAGGCTCCTGGATCCTTCGGCTTGGGCTGAGGGGCGGGGAAGGGAAGCCCCTTGCCGTGGACTCCTTAGGCTGAGGTTTTGATGGCATGGGCTTCTGATCTAACGATTTATAAGGATGAGGAGCATGGGGAGCATTTCTAATACCTTCGAGCTTTTATCTCTGTTACTTGTGATCAATCTGTTACCCCTGTCTGGAAAGTTTTTCCCGCCTGCCGAACTCGTACTCATACTACACGGTCCCGGGCAAAAGTCACCTTCTTGATGAAGTACTAACAACTGTCTCGGGCACTTGTCCTCTTTCTCCTGGGAGCCCCGCAACCTATGTACAGACCTCTTGCCACGTGTCATGGACTTCTTTGTTATTTGCCACGCCTCCTAGTGACCACCATCTGACGTGCCTCTGGCCCTGGGATGATGTCTATTCATCTTTGTATTTCCAGTGCCAAACACTGGGGCCGGCAATTGGAGGCTCAATCAATGGCAGCGATTGTCTTTATCATTTTTAGGGGGGCATAAATGTTTACTGAATTGAATTCCAGTGTCTCTGAGAACAATGAGGTCAATTTACTTCTCTAGAGTTGTTGTGTTCTGGATTTTAGAAGCGTTGGCTGGTGGGTGACAATGGAAGTTAACATTTGTACAGAACTTTACGTTTACAGCCCTCTTTCACAAGCATTATCTCATAATCTTCCCTATAACCTTGGGAGGGAAACAAACACCTATTGAGCAACTACTCTATGCCAGGCAGTGAGTTAGACGCTATTGCGTTTGTCGCCTTTCTTAAATCATACGTCAGCCTCGTGAGAGAGTTATTATTATAATCACTTTACTGAGGCTCATGTTATTCAGTAGAGCCAGAATTTTATTTATTTTTTATTTTTAAAAAATATTTTTTACTTATTTACTTACTTATAATTTATTTAATTTATTTTATTTTTGGCTGCCTTGGGTCTTCATTGCTGCACTTGGGCTTTCTCTAGTTGCAGCAAGTGGGGGCTACTCCTTGTTGCAATGCCTGGGCTTCTCATTGCGGTGGCTTCTCTTGTTGCAGAGCCTGGGCTCTAGGCACGCAGGTTTCAGTAGTTGTGGCATGTGGGCTCAGTAGTTGTGGCTCGTGGGCTCTAGAGCACAGGCTCAGTAGTTGTGGTGCATGGGCTTAGTTGCTCCACGGCACGTGGGGTCTTCCCGGACCAGGGCTCGAACCCGTGTCCCTTGCATTGGCAGGCGGATTCTTAACCACTGCACCACCAGTGAAGCCCCAGAATTTTAAGTTATGTCTTTTGCCTGTAGGTCCTGAGATTCCTTAATTGTGTAATGGGAAGAATACAAGATTAGGAGTTGAGATCTGGGTACCAGTCCAGAGTCTGTCTTTCAGCAGTGATTCTGAGCTTGACGTCTACAGACATGGGTTCATAAGGCTTCTAAAATTATAAGCAGACTTTTTCTTGTATGCGGTTTGTCCCAGGCAAAGAGTCCATACCTTTCATCACGTGTTTTTCATGGTGGCCGGTGGCCTCAGATAATGTTAAGGACCATTGCATTGATCTGTAGCTAATCAGTCACCTTCTGTGTGCCTCAGCCTCTGACTCTCAGCTGCCCATCTTGTCTTATATTGAAAAGACAAAGTGCCACCTTAGTTTAAGATGTAATTGTTGTCATTCCCAACCGGAATCATTTGACGGTGGTTCTGAAGGATTTCCACATTTCCCAAGCTGAAATAAGCTCCTAGCAGTCACAGCAGCACGAGGCTCCGTGATAACCCCATAGTGCCCCCAGATTGAGGTCATGGGATTCTTTGATGGCTCTGATCTCACGCCTTCCCTTAGGAGCTTGAGGCCATGAGCAGATACACCAGTCCAGTGAACCCGGCTGTCTTTCCGCATCTGACTGTGGTGCTGTTGGCCATTGGCATGTTCTTCACCGCCTGGTTCTTCGTGTATCCTTTCACTGAGCAGCCAGTGGGCCAGAATTAGTGAGGTGGGAAACTGAGGGAGGGACCATGCTGGGTACATGCACCCTGCCAGTTTTGTTCCGGTGTGGGGACGGGGGATGGTAAGGAGGTTGAGGGAAGGCTATTTGACGTCCAAAGTCAGGTTGTGGCCTTATTTTCCAGGTTCAGGTGAGCTCAGTTCGCTCCTCCAGTTTCCAGGACAGTGAGCAGAGGGGCCTGGCTGGACTGGAGGCTAGGTACGGGGCCCTGTGGTGTGCTCAGGTGTCAGGAGGTACGAGGGCTAGTCCCGGCTCTGCCGCTCATTAGCTGTGTGACCTAACCCCTCTGGGCTTCATTTTCTTCATGGGTGCTGGAAGGGTGGTAGGAGCACCAGAGTCTAGGTCACCTCTTGGGCCCCTCTGCCCGGAGCCACGCCAGCCACCCCTTTGCTTCTCCTTAATTGCCCTGCCAGTTACGAGGTCACCTCCACCAAATACACTCGGGATATCTACAAAGAGCTCCTCATCTCTTTGGTGGCCTCGCTCTTCATGGGCTTTGGAGTGCTCTTCCTGCTGCTCTGGGTCGGCATCTACGTGTGAGCTCCCACGGGTAAGAGCAATGGCAGGGTGGGACACTGGAGAGGCCTCCCCACGCCCACATCAGCGGGGTCCTTGGGCCTGCATGACCCCTTGGTTAATGGAGTGAGACTCAGCAGAGTGGATAGGGACACCACACACAGGTGCCCCTTTCCCTGTCTCCTAATGGGGATTTGAGCCAAGTGGGACCACCTTTGTCAGTTGTGAGGTCTCCACACTGTCCAAGGCCTCGACCTGGCTCTGGGATATACTACGTAGGGCTGTGGGCACAGGCTTCCCGTGGTTACACATCTGCATTCTTACCTGTCATACACAGTGATTGGAGAGCCGCTGGGGAGTGACCCAGCAAGGGTCCAGGATCTGGGACTTGCTTCCAGGAGTAGCCTTTTAGTTAGTTTCAACGTTTTCAGTCATTGAAATAAATTTTGACTAAGCGACAAAAAAAACCACCCACAACCTTGCTGCAGATGACCCACCAAACAGGTCACTTAGAATCCGTCGGCTCTGGTGGCCCTGCTTCCAAGGACTGTGCCCGTCAGCGCTTGCCCCAGGAGCGTAGGGGTTCGGTGAGAAAAGCGGATGGAAAGAAGGGTCACTGCTCTCATTCTGATACCCCTCTTTTTCAGGTACCAGCCAGGCGGCTTCACTGAATCCCTGCTTTTGTAAATTAGTTTTTTTTACTATGCCAGAAATGTCCCACCTGCTGCTCACAATAAAGGCAGATGTGTGACAGCCCTGCCTGGTGCCCGTCCTGCGGGGTGGGAGTGGTGCAGGTGCTGGGACCCACGACTTCCCCAGTCCCACCCCTTCCCGTTTCACCTGCCTTTCAGGTGGTTCCTGCTTGCTGGGAAGCCCTGCCCTCTGCCTATGAGAGGGCTATGGGGAGTGTCTTATCCTTAGAATTGAGGGCTCACCTGTGGATAGGAAGGGGCTTGGCCTGCCCTCCACTGTGGCTTCTAGTGTAAACTTTTGTAGGAACCCGTGCCAGTCAAGTCTGCCCTGGGCCAGTCCCCTCCTCTGAGTGGTGCCGGGGACCCTCGAAAGGCTCAGCTTTTCCCTAAGGTGGCTACTTTTAACCCAGCCAGGGCAGCAGTAGGTCCGTGGGGTGTGGCTAGGGGAAGGGGCTGCTGCATCCTGTTCCCAAGCCGGGCCTGAAGCTACGAGGGATAATGGGGTACGAAGCATCCATTGGGCTCAGGAGCCCCAGTTGGTCCCAGGCCCACAGGCAACCCATCTCCCACCAGAACAATCTCAAGAAGATGGCGAGGCAAGCTCAGATACAAAGCAGTATTTATACATTTATTTATATACGTATATTTACTTCAGAAAAGAACAGTTCAGGGGACAGGAAGCAAGCAGGCCTGGGGCTGCTCCCCTCTGCCCACTCCAGAGTCAAAGCTCAGGGGCCGGAAGGGGCGGTTAAGTGGGAGGGAAGGGGCGCACTCTGCACACGCAGGCTTTCCGGGGGGCGGGGGCACTTGTGCATCGAGAGGCGCTGTGTACAGCGCGAAGCCTGGGGGAGATCGGCCCAGTGGCTACAGGAGCAAATGCCGAAAGGGAGAGCGGGAGGGAGGGTAGGCTGCTGGGCCCGGGGCAGGGGATGGAGCCACGACCCCCACCCACCGGCACCCCAGGCAGCTGTCAGCCTCCAGCGGGTGGCCACTGGCCTTCCCTGAAGCCCCTTTCCCTCACTGGGCTTAAGGCGACTTTAGTCCAAGGTTGACCTCCCCCCGCCCCCCGCCTCGGCCCCAAACTCAGCACTGAGGACCCCCTCCCCAGGCATGGAAACAGCCAGCTGCCAACCAGATTGGGGCGATGCTGTGTCCAGATGGCTCCAGGGAGCAGTGGAGGGTCACCTTCCAGTTAAGCACAGGGGGCTGCGGTCCAAGAACTTGTACCCCCACTGAGGAAGCCCCAGAATCCTATTAGAAGGGGCAGGGCTCGGTAGTTGTATGGCATTTAGGGAGGGTTCCCCCAGTGGGAGGAAGGAGAACAGAGCAGCGCTAAGTAAGGCGCGGCCGCCAGCATGGTGTGGGGAGCCATGTAATTCCTATGTCGGAAGGAGGAGCCACACTGGGGAGGGGGCTGGGAGGCTAGGTATCCTTGCTACCCCCATTCCCCCTGTGCTTCCCTATCCCTAGGAGAAGTGCTTTGACATCCATAGCAGAAGGGGGCCCGCGGTCCCTAGGCTTCTTCAAGATCCAGGTCTCCCACAGAAAGGCCTCCCACTCAAAGCTGAGAATGAGAGGTAGATGGGGCAAGGCCTGGCTCCCAAAGCGGTGGCAGAATATCACAGGGCAAGGATGGCATTTCCGTCCCCATTTCTGAACCCATGGCAGACACGACGAAATGATTTCCACTCTCCTTCCATGAGCCTGGATGTGGCCTCAGAAAGCTCCAGATACCCACTAAGAAAGGTTAACGTTGGCACTTGAGATAAGACTTCTTCCGTAACCCAAGCCCACCACTCTGCTCCTGAGAGGAGTGGGCAGAACTGGGACTACTGCCGAGCACGGGGCCCCCAGCCTGGCTGTCCAAGCCCAGCACAGGAGCCCTCGAATCTGGGGAGGTGAGGCCACCAGCAGACAAGAGTGGAGGGAAAGGCCAGTCCTGGTGGTCGGGAGTGGGGTGGGTGTCTCAAAGCTCCCTGGGACGGATCAGAGCCAGGGCCTTGCCTTTCAAGTGTCCCCTCGGGGCTCTGGCCCACTCCGGGCTTTCAATCTCCATCCTTCGACTCCTGCCCGGGTTTAAGTGCATTTTAGTAATTATTTCATTAATAACAGCAAAAGCTATTTGCATCCACCCACCAGACAAGACCAGCCTGCTGCCTCGCAGGGATTCCCGCTCCTCTGCTCAGAGACCTCTGTGAGCTCTGGAAGCTCCCAGGGGCCCAGGCCGCGGGGCCGCAACGCCATCTGGGGGCTCACAGGGAACTTCCTTCCCTTCGGGATACTCCAGGTTCAAGGGTCCAAGGCTTACCTGGCCCACTGGCTCCCCTGGTTCAGCCAGGCACTAAGTGTACACAAGGCACGTGGTCGGTCGCCAGCCCATCCAGGGCTGGCTTCAGCTGCCCTGGGAGCTCTTGGAGCCAAGCTCTCCCAGGGAGAGGAGACCTCCTGGGCCATGCTTAAAGCTTAGAAGTCCAAGTCCAGTAACAGTCAGACCCTAAGAAGTCCACTACCTAGCCCTCCCCAGGGAGCAGCTTCAAGGGTGAGGGCTGTCTGCCCTCCACTGACTCGTGGGTCCAGCCAAGTCTCTGAGGGCTCGAGCCAAGCCCCTGCCGGTCTCAAAGGCGGACGGGTCCTCTCTCCAAAAGAGGGGTGGCTCCCAGTCGCAGAAGGGGAGGCAGGAAGGGTAGGCTCTGGGCCGAGTCACGGGCTTCCCCCGCCTCTGGGGCGCTGCTGCCCACCAGCCCTCCATCGGCCGAATCCGGACACATGTGAATCAGGCTGGCCTGGGCCTGGCAGGTCTCCCTCCAGCGCCCTCCGTGGTCTGGGGGCGCCGCCAGCAGGCCCAGCAGCTCCAGTGTGAGGACTTCCAGTTTCACCAGGCACGGGGAGGGCCGAGCCGCCTCAGTCCCTCCAAGGAAGTGTCAGCGGCGGGCTCCAGTGTAACACCATGGCGTCCAGTGTGGAGGGGCGCCCAGAGCCCTGGGCCCAGTGTAACACCATGGCGTCCAGTGTGGAGGGGCGCCCGGGACCCCGGGCCCAGTGTAACACCATGGCGTCCAGTGTGGAGGGGCGCCCGGGACCCCGGGCCCTGCTGTGGTGCTGCCTCCCTGGGCAGCTCAGTCACACAGGCGGTAGAAGTGGAAGTAGTAGTCTGCGGCCGGCCAGACCGGGGCCTCCAAGCTGCAGTTGGCCTGACCCTGGAGGGAAGGGCAGTGGGAACCAGTGAGGTGGCTCCGGGGGGGCGGGGGGGATGCCAGAGCGCTCCCCGTGCTGACGTCGCCGGACACTGCCCATGTCCCGCCATGTGATCTTCAGTCCCCCCCCTACCCCCAAGCCCCACCCTGAACCTCTGGGGGCAGACGGCGCAGGTGCTCACCAGCAGTGCCACCCGGAAGTGATAGGTGAATCTGCGGAAGGACAGGATGGTTACTGGCCACTGGTGGGAGGTGCCCTGGGGAAAGAGGGGGGCAGAGGGGTCAGGACAGCTGCGCAGCCCCCCACCCCCTGTCCCACCCCAACTGGCATCCCCCGCCATGGCCGTCGCAGCCCTGGCTCTGTGGCATGGTTTACAAAGTGGAGAAGCAGAGATCTGAAGTGAGATCGCAGGGTGCACTTTCTACTTCGGGGAGCAACAGCGCCCACCGTCTGTGTGTACTCCGTGCCAGGCAGCCGGGGGCCCACAGCCGCTGCTCTCTTACTGCCTTCCCTCTCACCACTGTGCTCCGGGCACATCCAGGTATTTCGCTCACCCCATCCGCACTGCAACCCACTGAGGCGGTGCCGCTTACAGACGGGGACAGTGCTGAGTCACCTGCCTAAACACCAAGGCTGGGCAGAGCTGGGATTCCAGCCCTCCCCGCCCAGGGCCTGAGCCTCTTCAGGGCTCTCACCCACTCCATCCTCTACTCAAGCTACTTTCTGCACCCCTTTTCTCCCCGGCTAGAGAGTGCATTCTTGGAAGGCAAGGCCTGTTTCTTCCCTACCTCTGTCTCCCCTCAGCTGGGCCCAGCACAGGGCCTGGGACAGAGGAGGCCCCAACAGATATTTGTTGAATGAACACACGAGTGGGTGAGAAGAAATTCCCTTAACTTGTGTTGAGAGTCACAACTTCGGGTCACATGGCCAGGGAGGAGCCCGACGGTGACAGGTTCCCAGACCAGGAGGCAGCCCCCTCCACACAGCCCAAGAGATCTTCCAAAGTCACAGATGGAACAATGCCACTGCCCCCGCCCAAGCTTCAGGTCCAGCCTCCTTCCCATCTCCCCGGGCACACAGCCCTCGCCACGTTTCCAGCTCTGCCAGCGCGCCATGCTCTCCCTGGCCACCAGGCCTCTGCACCCGCTGTTCCCCCACTCCTGGGACGCTGTCCCCTTTCCTTTCCCCAGCTGATCCCGTATTGCTCTTCAGGTCTCATCTTAATCAAACATAACTTGGGGGCAGCTGGCCTGACCCTGAGGCCACACAACGTCAGCTCTCCCTGCCACGGGCTCCCAGGACGCCCTCCACATGCCCTCCCCGTCTCCACCATTGCGCTCACCCCAGGTTAGGCCTTATGGAACTGTTTTCCTCCCCAGGCCTTCGTCAGGGCAGGCACAGGGCCGGAAGACACTCAGTGGTGAGCAGTGCACGCATGCCCCGCTCCCTGCGACACAGAGGCCCAGGCCCCAAAATGTCCTCCGTGGAGATGCCTGCACTCTTGACTCCAGCTCCCTCTCCTCTCCCGCTTGGGAGCCCAGATGTGCCGGCGCGGAGGAAGCTCCGGCCTGGCTGGCCCACAGCTTCCCAGTCTCCTACCTGGGTGTCCTGGTGGGCATGGAGGCTCTGTGGAAAGCCCCCCTCCTCACACGGCTCCTCCTTTGACATCAGGCTGCACAGCGCCACGGACACGGGGGCCGAGGAGCTGGGAAAGACCCAGTTAGCAGGGAAGTGGGGTTCCGAGCTCCTCCAGCCCAGCCCGCTCCCAGCCAGCCCTCCACTCTACCTCCCTCACCCCGGTGAGACAGGGCACTGAATCCTCACAGCCTGAAAATGATGCGTAGCCGTCAAGGCTCTAGATGGCTACAAACCCTTTTCCATCCACTGACCCACACAGCCTTCACGGCCCCTGGGAGGCAGCAGCGCATTTCCCAGATGAGGAACCAATGCCCGGAGGTTGCCAGGTCACACAGCCAGTGAAGCATGGAGCAGGCAATAAAGCTAGCACCCCTCCTCAGCCCCTCCCCCGGCTGCCTGGGACCACTGGGTCCCCATCCCCCACGGCGGCACTCACTTCATCTGCAGGGTCAGGCGGAGGTGCAGCGGCGTGCTGCTGCTGATGGGGATGTGGTAGGTGACATTTCCAGGCCTGAAAGGGCAAAGCTGGCTCCTCAACAAGGCCACCCTGCCCTGCACCCCCCCACTCCCATCAACTCCTCAGCCCCCAGTCTACAGTGGAGCCCTTCAGGGGCCTAGAAAGGGGCTGCCCCACCTTGAGGGGAAAGTTCCTCCCTGAGGGGAGCAAGATCTGAACACCTGGACCGCCTGGGCTCATGTTACCAGAGGGAACCTGTCCTGGGGCAGGGGTGGGGGAAGGGAGGTAGCCAAGCCCACCTGCAGGCATCCTCTGAGGAGCAGTACTGGGACGTGATGGGCATCGAATTCTCCAGCACCTGGATGGAGGTCAGGGACGGCACTGGGTCTGCAAGGAGAGAGGCCACTGGTGCAGGAAGGAGCGTGAGAAGACAGGACACAAATGAGAAGCAGCCAAACCTGTCCTTGCCCGAGACTCGAATCAGTCATTCACACTTCAGCAGGAATAAATTTCAGGTTATCCTTTCCAGACTCCCACAACGGCTGGGGTCACGCCACCATCTTCCCCAGCAGCCCTAGGACTACACAGTTCCCATGAGCCTGAGGTGTGCCTCCCTGACGGACCCAGGACACCCACAAGTAGGGATGGGTCTTCCATATCCCCTGCATGGGGCGTACAGGAGCCCGCTCTTCAGGCCCCTGTCCCTGACTGCACACATTTCTTCCCAACTCGGGGTACAGTGACGTCAAGTTGGTAGCTTGAAATCAGCCATGGCGGCAGTATTCACACACACAAATCAGGGCCCCACTGTCCTTCGAAGACTCAGCTTTCAATGTCGCCTCCTCCAGGAAAGCCTCCCCAATCATCTCCGCACCTCAGTCCGGATTCTGTGCCCTCCCCAGTCGCCAAGCTGCCTGTGTGTCCCCTCAGAGCCTCACCACACTGCTGTTTTCGTGTCTGTGAGCCCCTGGGGGCAGGACACATCCATCTCCATCACCCCTGGTGCCCTGTACGGAGCCAGTCACAGAGAAGGGGCCCAGGAAACGGCTGCCTGGTAAGCATCTACCCCGTGGGGTTTCCCCATCACTCTGAACTTCAATCTCGGCAAACCAGTTTCTAAGCTTTTTTTTTTTTTCTCTCTTTAAGCCACAAAACCCATCAAATGGAAGTTGATGAGGAAGCCCAGTACCTAGAGCAGAGGTGCCTGGTTGAAGCCAGGAAGGTTCTCGGCCTCCCCTTCAACCTCCAAGGCAGCCCTGGGGATACTTCAGAGAAACCCGGTTTGAAAACAAAGGGCTCTCTAGCTTTGTCAAAACCAAAGGTATGAGATTTGGAAAACTGGGGGGACTCTGAACAGTAACCTTCTTGCCCTGGCGTGGTGACATAAAAGGAGCCACGTGGACTTGGGATCAAATTCCACCCCTGCCGCTAACAGGCTGTATGACCCTGGGCAAGTCACTTCACCCAAGTTTCCATTTCCTCATGTGAACAATGGGGACGATTCCTTTCTCGCAGGACTGTTGTGAAGATTAAATGATGCGATGGATATAACGCTATATAATCAGCCTGGCCTGACTCCTGGGACTTAGTAATGCTCAGCAAACGTCTGTCGACTGACAATTCTGCACCCAGGTATTCTGGTGATGGGCTGAAATGGGCCCTGGCCAGTGAGCCTTGCCAGGTTGGGCTGAGCGGGGGAAGGGGTAGGGCAGGTACCTGGCTGGCTCCAGGCCTGGGTGGGCTGAGCAGAGCTCAGGCCAAGCTGAGGGGCCCCTCGGCGGCCCCGGACATGGAGACCAAGGCTTGGGCTGTTCTTGGCTTTGCCCTGGCCTCCAGGAAAGGGGACCGCAGGGCTGGCCACAGGGTCCGAGTTCTTTGGATGCTTGAAGTAGCCAATGCCGTTGGCTGACAGGCCCCAGGACTTGGCTCTGATGTTGGTGGCTGGCAGCAGGGCCATCTGGCTGGGGCCTGTGGAGAGAACCAGGCACAGGCTGAGAGGCAGGCACGGGCTGCCTCCTGCCCAGCTGTCTTGAGGGCCCGACTGGACTCTGGGTGGCTCCCTTCTATCTCCTGGTCTCCTCAGGGGGAACCCCCAGTCTTTCTCCAGAGCCTCATTCTGGGCTCCAGGAGACCAGACCCTCCCACCAATGAGTCTCTGGGGCCTTTCTTAGGCCTCCTGTAAAAACCCCTCCAACCCAAAACCTGGCCCCAAGCGAGCCATACCTGAGCGGTTGGTGGAGGGGCCGGGACTGGGGCTGAGACCACGGCCAGGATTAAAGCTAGGGGCAGGGGTGGGGCTGGGGCTGGGCGAGGAGCAGCAGACGACTGGGCAGGGGCGGCTGGAGCACAGGTCCAAGGTGCGGAGGGCTGGAGCTGGGGCCGAGCTGGTCAGGCCAGTGGTAACTGAGGAAGCCAGAGGCTGTATGAGCTGGAGTGGGGCAGCAGAGCCCCCGACCCAGAACACAGCCACCGCTCCCCATCCCACCCCTCCAAAGCCACGCCCCACACGCACCCAGCAGCAGAGAGGGCTGCGAGCCCGGCCGCCCAGTGGTCACAGGGGACTGTCGGAGCTGAGTGGTCCCAAAGCTCTGGCTGGACCTGCTGGGGAAGGGTGGGCTGAGCTCAGAGGGGCTGGGAGAGCCTGAGCAGGAGGCCTGGGAGTCCCAGAGCAGCGGGAGGGGCGCGAGGAGGTGGACAAGGAAGGCAGAAAGGAGGCAGAGGCAGGCGGGAGAGGGCTTGGTCCAGACACGTACCATGGGCACATGGCCTCACTCCCCCCAGGGTGCTGGGGCCGGAGCAGGGCCAGAAGACAGGAAGTGGACACGGCAAAAGAGCTAAGGGGCGGCAGAGAGGAAAAGAGGGGGCAGGCACAGGGGAGGAGAGAAAGAGAAGACACGGTCAGAGATGGCCCAAGGACTGAGGGTGACAGTGGGCAGAAGAGCCCAAGGCCCCACCCTGGCTCTCCTTCCCCTACCCCCTGTTCTAACCTGGGCCGCTCAGATGCCCCCTGCCACTCAGAGGCCCAGCCACCTGGAGGAGCACTGAGTAGCCCAGGGAGAAACACTGGCTTCAGTACGACTGCGAAGCAGCTGCCCCCCTACCAGAGAGGCCTTCCCACCCACCCCTACAAACTCCTGGCGGGCTAAGAGCCTGAGGTGGAACCCCCTTTAGAGGAGACAGCCTCCAGGGCTCCTCCGACCCTGGGCTGCTCACCAAAGCCCCGCCCGGCCTGGCGATGGCCCCCGCAGCCAGGCCTCCAGGGACATACCCATCAGTTTCCACCAGGTCCTCCTCGGTGCGCAGGCTCAGCACATACAGTGTAGACATGGACACCACGCTGGGAGCCACAGGAAGGGGCCACTGTTAGAGCTGGAGCCACCACCCGGCGCCCTCTCTCCAGGGCGGGGCCTGTGGTTTTTGGTCCCAGGGGCTGGACTCCCAAGTGATGCCTGTACGCGGGTCTCCCCAGTCCCAAGGGGAGGAGACAGAACGAGGCAGCCCCCCTTCCTTCCTCGAGACCTCAGCCACTTCATCTCCCAGGCCCCGCCCTCCTCTTCCCCCAGGACTGGGCCCGTGGGCAGCCCGACATCCCTGGCCAGCCGCCCCCAAAGTCTGGGGGACAAGTCACCTGAAGGCCATGACCACCACCAGGGCGATGATGGTTCCCTGCAGGAAGCGCTGGCTGATGCAGGCCTGGTCTGGGACCACAGACGATGACTGAAGACCAAGAAGAAAGGGGGAAAAGGCCCAGACTTAGGGAGCCCATGGTCTGACCCACGGTGGGCTCTGCTGGAGGTGGGGTACTCATCCCCTCGGGGGGCAGAGGGAGAGGAAGGAGAAACCAGGGGCTGGGAGGGCTAGAGGATCCAGAAGCGAGGGGAGGGGAGGGGAAGCGCTTGGAGTCAGTGAGCCTGGAGAGGCGCCAGCTGGAAAGGGAGGCCACGAGGATGGGGAGGCCCCAGTCCCTGGCCCCCATCCCTGCCCACCCTCACCTTGCTGGCCACCTTGGGGGGCCTCTTCTTGTGGGGGACGCTGCCCGCCCGGCTGAACTGGCTCCCTGCGTGGCTGCAGCAAGAGGGCAGGGTCAGAGGTGCCTCTGGGAAGGGGGTCTTGCCCTCCCCGGCCCCGAGCCCCCACCTGAAGGCGCCTGAGCTGCCGGTGGACTTGAGGCTGTCGAGGCGCCGCAGCTTGGCCAGCTTGTGGCTCCAGCGCTCCAGCTCATCAATGCGCGTCTCCAGGTTGTCCGTCAGCTTGCACAGCTCCTTCACAGCACCCACGTTCTCCATGAAGATGCGCTCCTGCCGCAGGCAACGGCCAGTGTCGAGGGCACAGTCAGCCCCTGGGAGCCCCAGGCTATGGGCCCACTGGGGCGCCTGAGGAGGGCACTCAAAGGCTCCCTACCCAGGCCAGCCTTGCCTCTCGTCCAGCCTCAGCTCCCTCGGCTCCCTGTGCCTGCGTCCGAACAGCATCCCACCTCTGCACCTTTCCCCACCCACGGTCAGAACCCGTTGTCTCTCAGAGGCTCCCACCCTCCATCTCCCCATCTGATGAACACAATGTCTCAGACTTCAGCAGAGGCCAAAACACATCACATGGTGCCCATCCTCACGCCAGGAAGGTTACAAACATTATCCTCACGACAAACCCCACGTTTAAGCTTTGCCATAACCACATTAGAACTTCTTAGCGGTAAGTGTCGTTTCCCTCCTTTTGCAGGGGAGGAAGATGACCCTCAGAACGTTCCTCTTGCTCTTGATCGCACAGCGGCAGACTGGCAGAGTCCCCACCTCCCACCTCTACCTCTCCCAGTGGGGTGGGGAGGGGGCTCTGGAAGCAGCATGAGAGAAGACTGGGGGGCAGGGGAATGCTCCTGTTCTCTGCACTTCAGTGTCCCCGGTCTCTACGGAGGGCGTGAACGCCCTCCAGCGGGTCCACCCCTCTGCCCCTTGGGCTCCCTTCAGTCCCTCCTCCACAGACCTTGTTCACCACCAGGAAGTTCTCTATGGTTTTCCCATTGGCAAAGACCACGTCTCCAGTGTCCTTCACGGCCTCAGGCAGGATCTCCTTCACCTCCTGAGCGATGACACCTGGGGAGGGGCAAGCCAAGTGTGTGTTGCGGGGAGGACTGCCCACAGCACCGTAATGTAAGCAGGGGCAGGGATCAGTGAGGGTGAAATTCTGGGGGCTAGAGATTTGGGATCCAGGGAGCCCCGGAGCAGGGGGCTCCGAGGCACAGGGTCGCAGTTCCAGGGATCAAGGTGTGGGGTTCCCTGGGCTAGGGATAGGGGCATATTCCAGGGAGTAAGGACCCCAGGGGAAAGGGAGCAGGGATTCAGGAAAATAAAGGCAAGATTCATCTAGGGAACACAGGAGTGAGGATCCCGAGGCCACAAGTCCCAGGCTTCCGGTGTCAAAGGTCAAGGGGTCCGGCCCGAAGGGCAGGTCTTCCGGAGGGCCGGGATTCCCGGGGGCAGGTTTCCAGGAGTCATGGGAAGGGGTTCCCGGGAGTAGGGTTTCCAGAGGACAGGGACAGGGTCGGGGTTACCAGATCCCAGCCTGCGCACGTGAATCCTTACCCGTTTCTGGCGCCGCGGCCTCGATGCCAGCAGTGGCGGCAAACTCTGGCTTGTATCTGTAGTGGACCAGTCGCATGCGCGAAATCCTCTTCAGCTGCTCGGTGGTGTCCACCTGCGCGGGAGCCAGGGCCGAACTGAAAGCCTCCCGGCTTGGGCCCGTCCGGAGGCAGCAGTGTGGAGGGGAGACCCTGCTACTAGGGTCGCGGGATCCAGAGATCCAGGGCCAGCCTCCCCCAACGCCTTCCTTTGCAGCCCCGCCCCCTACAGAGCCCCGCCCACAAAGCAAACCCGTCCCCCGCGGGCAACCCCGGGCACCAGTTCCTCCCGCTCAGTTGTCCCCGCCCACAGCCCCGCCCCCACCTCCTGCAAGTGCTCCTTGGCCCGCAGATCCGAGGGGTGCATGAGCGAGCCCATGACCTTGACGTTGCCGTGCACCACCAGCGCCTCATCGGGCCGGTCTGTGTTGATGCCCACACGGCCATGGTGGAAGACGGTGTCGGGCACCTGCGCCCGCTGCCACAGCACGTCGCTGTCACTCTCAAACTGGCCCGGATTGGAGGCCTAGCAGGAGTTGGGGTTGGATCAGCCCTGGGAGATGGGGGACCTGCAGCGCCCTGGGAAAGGGGGAAACCCCGCAGCCACCTCTCCAGCTCCAGCCAGACCTCCTCACCCCACCATGAGGGGCGGCTTAAACTGTCCCTCCCATTGTGGCAACCAGGTCCAGGTCCTGGCCACCTCCACACTTTATTGTGACCCGGACAGGGTGGGAGCCTTGCCCAAGGCCACACAGCGAGTGCCCAGCAGGGTCAGCATTCCAGCTCCTGACTCCTGAGGACCCCTGTATCTCTCCTGGGTGCTGTCTTTCCCAGGTTTGGGGAGGACTCTCAGCCCTCTGCGGGGAGGTGGCCCTCACCCGCACGATGATGCGTTCTGAGATCTGGGCAGCCAGCGTGTAGTTCTGGTTCTGTGCGTGGGCCTGGAGGGCCACCACCAGCATGAAGTACCTGGGACACACAGGGGTCTTAGAGGCACCCAGGGGTCTGCCCCACTGCCTCCTCACCCCCCGCCAGCCTTCCTGGGTCAGATGTACAGTGCCCACTCGGTCATCTCGCCCAGGCTCCCACCAGCCAGGAAGAGGGCATGAACACCCCATCTTACAGAGGAGGAACCTGAGTCTCCACTAGGGGGCGGAAATTCCCCAGGGCCCACCAGCTAGGAACCAGGCTTCTGCTCTCCCATCTGTAAGTCATTAAGGAAGGGCTCTGAATCCCAGGTCCCTTTTTTGTGAAATGGGTGAGTCTGTGGGACTCTGTGCCTGGCGTGCTATGTGGGGTGGCACCCTCCCGCCCCTCGTCCTCAGAAATGGAGCGGCTCCAGGGCAGGGGCACAGCCTGCTCACCTCTGGTCAGGGTTGGGTTTGCCCTTCTTGCGCATGTTGTTGGCGGTGGTCTCGCTGAAGTGCAGCCTCCCCACAGTCACCTTCGTGACCTGCTCGGGGGGCAGGCTGACCCTGCAGAGGAGGGGCAGGGTACTCAGGGCGCAGGGAAGGGGGCTGCGGAGAGCCAGGCCGCAGTGGGGCACTGGGGTCAGGAGTGTGTAGGAGGTGCACACTGTGGGTGCACTCCCGCACTCCCCTCAGCTCCTGCCAGGGTGAGCCCTCCTGGGGACCACCCGCCACGGGCCAGGCACTCACGTGACGGGGTTGAAGGGCCGCTTGCTTCGGTCCGACTGCGACTGCTCGATGTTGATGGACTGGTTGAGGGCCTCCAGCTGGGGGAGGGGCAGAGGCCAAAGGCACCTCAGGGCCCAGGTTCCCCACCTGGTTCCGCCCTCCTTTGGCCTCTCGGCCCAGGCCTGGCCCAGCTGGGGCTTGTGAGGAAACCGAGGCCCTGCCCTCCCCTCAGCCCACAAACGCTGGTGCCTTCTCCTACACGCCACACATCCCACAGCCCCACGCCACGCCACTCCCCCACCTATGTGCACACGCATGAGCGTGCACACACACACTCACCCTCACCGGCCCCCACTCCCGTCCGCACACCTATCCCAGCCCTGAGCACACACCCCAAACCGGCCTCCACAGCCACCCGCTCACTCGCCACCCAACATTTCCCAGACCCCGTCCCACACCCACTTCCCCTCAACCCCTCCACGAGCGCTGGCTGCGCTGCTCGATCATGACACTGAAGGAGTCGCACCCGGCCGACCCCCCGGGAGCTCACGGGCTCAAAATCAACCACCACTGTGGCGGTGCCGGGGGATCGCAGGGGAGGGACCTCAAGTCAAGATGGGCCTCAGGGCAGGTGTCCCCGAGGACACAGCAGTGTGAACGGTGAAGGTCAAGGAACAGCGGCAAGCCGGCAGAGGAGGGATGGAGTGGTGTTCAGTGGGCGTCCCCGAGAAAGGGAGCCGCCTGGGGGAGGCGGGGCTGCGACTGGGCACAGTGAATGGCGGGAACGGGTGAGGCTGGGGTCCCAAAGGCCTCTGCAGGCCCAGCCTAGCAGTCAGGGCTTTGCTGGGGTGAGGGAGATGGGGTCCCGGAGGCCTTGGAAGGCAGAATGGGAAAGATCTCAGGCAGGAGCCACAGAGGAAGCTGCTGAGGACAGGTCAGACAAGGAGGTGGAGGTGGGGGGAGGAGGAGGGGACCAGGCAGAGGGGAGTTCTGGGCGACAGGAGGGCCTGGTGCATGGTGAGGGGTGGGCAAGTGGGCCCCGGATTCATGGCTCAGGTAACCAAGGCCCTGGAGCCCCGTTCCCAGAGAGGGGGCCCGGGAGAGGGGCAAGTTCCCAGGGAGTTCATTTGGGGGTGTGGCACTGAGACGGCTGACAGCGGGGTCAGAAGAGGGGTCTTGGCGGGGGGGCGCAGGCTTGGGATCACGGGGTAGAGAAGAAACGGGAAGCGTACCTGAGAAGACGGCTGGGAGGCCTGACGCTTAAGGGGCAGGCACGGGAGGACAGGCGGAAAGGGGGGCCTGGACTTAGCCACGAGGGGTTTCCTCAGGACACACTCACCTGGCCTTGGGCTCTTTCGACTCCCCCCAGCCTGCCTGCCCTCCTGCCCTGCCCTCCTGGCCGAGCCCCAGACCTGCCTTCAGGTGGAAGCAGTCGAGGGGCTTGAGGCCCTCGGGCGTCTTGACGTACTTGGGCTCCCCCAGCATGCCTGCCCTCCTGCCCTGCCCTCCTGCCCTCCTGGCCGAGCCCCAGACCTGCCTTCACGCCGTGCAGCTTCAGGTGGAAGCAGTCGAGGGGCTTGAGGCCCTCGGGCGTCTTGACGTACTTGGGCTCGCCCAGCAGGCCGATGTACACCGTCACCTGGAAGTGGTTCTTCTTCTGGCAGACGAAGGCGTCGTCGCCCACCGAAAAGTTGAAACCCTTGTCGGCGTCCACGCGGTAGGTGAGCATGGGCCTGGGGACAGGTGGGGGCAGTCACCCGAGGCCCCGCACACCGGGCTTGCCCTGCCCGTCCCACCCACATGCCTGCGTTCCAACCCAACTTCCCACGTGGCGCCCCCACTTCTCAGAGATGGAAACTGAGTCCCCAGGAGGATTGGAGCTCAGGTCTGCCAGTGCCTCAGCCCATACTCTTCCCACTACGTGCCTGGGACCACCCCACCCTGGTGATGGGGGCAGGTTGAGCAAGACACTTGGACGGGAGGGAACTCCTGAGGAGGGGGCCTGACGGCCCCTCACCACACTTGGCTTCTTCCCAAAACGCTGCCCGAAGCCCCCTCCCTCACGGGAGCCGGGGTGAGAGGGGATGCGTCTGTGGAGCCTCACTGCGCCTGACAGCTGGTTGCCATGGAAACGGTGGAACCAGGCGCCGGCTCTGCACTGGCCCAGCCCCTGCCCACCAGCTTGCTCAAGCCCCCAAACGTCCTCATTCTGACTCCACCATCTGCCCGGTTGGGGAGGGGGCACTCTGGGCAGCCTGGCCTCAGTCTCAGTTTACACATATGTTGCTGGCAAGGTGTTCCAAGTCTGGACCCTTTGGGGGACCTCCAGGTGGACTCAAAGGGGGTGATTGTTGGCCTGCCCTCACCCAGGTCCCCAGGCACAAGCAGTGCCCCGGATGCCCAGGGCCCGCCTGGAGGAAGCTGGGCAGGGACAATGTTTCCAAACTTGTGGGGAGAGGCCTTTGGGCCTGGCTAACATCCACGGGAAGGCCCAGAGCTCACTACTTCTCCCTCCCTGGGCTCCACCCACCTGCCTGACCCAGGGGAACACCCAGGAAGTGCCTGGGCCACACTGGGGGCCTCAGCTGCCAACTTCCTGGCCTTGGGACCTGGGGTGGCAGGGCTGGCCCAAGAAGCATAGTAGTAGGAATGGGAGCTCCTCACCAGGCCATAGAGCTGGACAGCCAAAGACCTGCCCCCGCCACCCAGACAGGGCCTCAAAGGACCCTCTCACCACTACATCAGCTGGACGCCCCCTGCCCCAGCCCTGAGGGCTTGTGGCTAACAACCCGGCATAGCCTGGGACACCCAACTCCAGGAGGCTGGTCTAGCTGCGAGAGGGCCAAGTCCCAGACACCCTGCCCAGGCCTGGCAACGTCCAAATGAGCTGATGGTGAGCCATGCTCTCATCCCTCACTGGCCTTCCGTGGGAGTGAGGGGACTGGTCCCGGAGTGCTCCTGGCCAGGTCCCAGGAAGCTGAATCCACATGGGTGGGTGCTGAAGGAGAGCGAGGAATGCCCGGCCAGCCTCTGACCCAGTCCTCCCCCACCCACTCATCCCTCCCCTCCAGGGAGGGGGCTGCTGGAAGGGCCTTGCTGACGCTCTGCTTCCGGCTACCTTCCTGGAATGCAGAAGGAGGAGTGGGGGAGGGGAAGGGGGAGCCAGAAAACACCCCTCCACCCACCGGCCCCTCCCTGGCGGACACCAGCTTCTTCAGGAGGCCTCGGGCTGGCTCCGGAGTCAGGAACCCTGAGCGCCAGTCCTAGCTCTTCCCTGAGCCTGTCTGCTCGTCTGTGAAACGGGACCATCTCGTGGCCGGTGTGCTCCCCAGCCCTGCTCTAGGACGGCGTGGCCAGGAGGGGTTAGGGGGAGCACAGGTCACTCACAGCTCTTTGTAGTTTGCATCGTACAGTGTCGCCCACTTGTTCTGCTGATGTGGTTGCCACTTGATGGACTGGTAGTTGGGGTCCAGGTAGGAGCCACTGAGGCTATCATTGTCCTGAAGGAGACCTGGAGAGAGAGAACGGCCATGGGCCCCGGGCTCTGGGCCCCCCCCGCCCCCCCACCTTGAAAGCTTGAGCAGGCCAGCCATGTACCTGGTGAGGGTGCACCTGGGGGGTGCCAAGGCGGTGTCTGGACCCGGGCGATGCTGAGGGGCAAGGAGCCAGGGCCGGGTGAGAGCGGGCCCTGGGGAGGCCAGGGTGGGGATGGGGCTCGAGCTGGGTGCGGTGGCAGGGATGTCACGGTCCCGGGCTCCTGTTTGATCATTCCATTCAGCATCTGGGCATTGAGGGTGTTGGGGGGTGATTCGGAGTGCTTCCTCTTCTTGGAGGGGTGTGTGGGGAGCCTGGGGGGGACACAGGTGTGCACCATGGGGGGCTGGCCCTCCCCAAGCCCCCTCCCACTGGGCAGTACCCCCGCTCCCCTCTTCACCCTGTTTCAGCAGGATACACCCAGCCCAGGGGATACCTCCTGCCCGAAGCCCGCGCCTTTACCTCCTAAGTCCTCCTCCATCAGTCTGTGTTATCATTCTGTTTCTGTCCCTCCACCCTACCCCCCAGACTGTGGAATCCAGGAGGGCAAGACCCACACCTGACTTGTCTGTGGTTCCCATCACGCCCAGCAACTGGCCCGGCACACAAAGCGCTCAGAATCGTTCGTGGAATGAACGAGTCTGTCCCTTCCCTGTGGTGTCATTCTCAGTGTCACTCTTTATAGCGACGGCTCTTTGGAGAGCAGCCTCCATGGTTAGAATCAAGCCACAGAGGGCCTGGGCCACGAAGGCTGGGAAAGAGAGTTTCCTGGGAAGGGGGCTGACGATTTGGGGGCTACACAGCACCCCTTCCCCTTCTGGTTTACAAAAAGCTTTGCCAGTGGAATCTTTCCTTGAATGAAATCTTTCACGAAATCTCAATGTGCAAAACAGATAAAAAAGACAATTCTACGGGTTGGAGTCAGAGCAGGAAGCTTGGGCCTCCGCCTAGAACCTCCTCAGAAACCCGAGGACTCCATGGTCACTGGAAAGTCACTGGTGTCTGGGTAAGAGCACAGTCCCAGGTTCAAGTACTGGCTCAGCTCCCTCCTATCTCCGTAGGGCAAGCATCCCACCCCTCAAGCCTCAGTTTACCTATCTGGGCAACAGGGGTGGCCATGCCCGCAAATAAGGTACTTGTGAGCACTTGGCCTTGGCCGTAAGTGCCCGATGCACTGCTCGCACATACATATACATGACACTGACCCCCATCTCTGGGGTCAGAGCCTTGGTCCTTCCTGGGTTCATTCATCCCCGCCCCTACCTCCATCTCTATCCTACCTGCTGCTGCCCTGAGTATCCCCCCCCCGCCCCCACCAGCCCATCTCCCCGCCCACGCCACCCACGCCCCCCACCCTGGGGGAGGCTGCCCAACTCTTACTCGGCTCCGGCTCCGTGTTGCTGCAGCAGCTGGTGCAGCATCTGGGACTGCTGGGTATGGTGGAGATCGGTGGGCACCAGCCCCTGCCCCATGGCAGCGTAGGGGGGCATCGGAGGCTCAGCCTTCATGTACAGATCCCGCTGCAGGACGGGGTAGTGAGGCGGGGGCGGCGGGGGCGGCGGTGGGGGGTGCTCCGGGCGGGAGGGCACCCCCACGTGGCACAGGCTCTCAGGGGTTAGGGTGCGCAGGAGATGGGGGTCTGTGGGAGAGATGCGGGGTGGCCATTAGGTTTCCCGGCACCAGCTCTCCCCGGGGCGGGGTCTCCTGATTCCCGCCCCCTCCTGAACCCAGCCTGGGGGCTGCCCTCCTGCCGACCCCACGTGGGAGGAGGCTGGGCAGTCTAGAGGCTGGCCACTACAGGCCCCGGCGGGGAAGCCAGACCCTGCCCAGGGGGTGGGCAGCCTTTCACCCCATCCGAGCCAGCTCCTTCCCCTGGGCCGCCGGGCCTGGCCCGGCTCCCTGGGGAGGTCCCTCATCCCCAGGTTCTCCCCCAGCCCCTCTCAGGCCTGCTCCTCCTCTGAGCCTCAGGAAGGAGTCTCCGGGACCCCCAGCGCTGTCCTGCGGGGGGCCCTCCTCCCTCCGGCGGGTCCCAGGGGCCAGCCCCCCAGCCTGAGGGGGGAGGCCCCAGCTCCCTTTGTTCCCCAGGAGGCATTCCAGAGATGTTTTTGGTAAGATAAACAGAACTCTTGACCCCTCTCTGGGCTGTGGGGAGACGGCTGCCCGTGATCCCTCTGCTCTTGGCCACCTGGGGGCCACTGCACCCCTGAGCACCTCCCAAGGGGAGGTGGGCCCGGCAGCAGCCAGGCCTGTGTCCAGGCTGCACCCAGCCGCCCCCAGCCGTCCACTTACCGCCGAAGGGCACGTCCATGATGGCGCAGGCGGGCAGGCGGGTGGCATCCCCGGCAGGGACACTTGCTCAGAGGCAGGGCCAGGCTCCCCACCCACCCATGGGGAACAACAGCCAGCGCCGGGGAGTATTTGACCAGCGATAATCTGGGCCTGCTGGGCGGCCGCTGGCCCCCTCCCTCCCGATAAGGCCGCCCCAGCCACTTGCCCAAACCCCAGAGGGGGAGGGCGGTGCCCGCTGGACTCACCATTCACCTGCTGGGGGGAGTAGGCCTCGGAGCCAGAGTCTGGGGGGGAGTCTGGCAGCGTGCTGGGAAGCAAGAGGAAAGGGTGGTTGGGGGGGCAGCCGAGCCCCTGCCTTCCAGCCGGGCAGCTCTTCTGCGGGGCAGGGTCCCGGAGACCCAGGGGCTGGAGGCTTCGAGGTTTCTTCGCAGCCCCCGTTATGGGCATTTCTCTGTACCAGCTACCTTGGGGTGCCTGGCAGGGCCCAGTTGTGGGTGGAGGCCTTGGGCTCTGGCCCAGCATCCCCTCAGACCTACAGGGCACTTGGGAGCGTGTCACCTGTGTCCCTGACGATGGCACAGGGATTCAAGGACTCCCTCTGCAGCCCGAAGGGCCAGGCCAGCTCTTTCCTTCCTGCACCCACAGAAGTCCCACTTCCTGGAGACTCTAGGGGCCGGGCCTGGGAAACTTCAGTGGGTCACCGGGGGGGCTGCCCTGCCACAGGCAGGTGTAGGCTGGGCAGGGAGCCAGCTCGCCAGGCCTGCACTTATTTTTTTCTTGCAGGTTTTGTTTTATCAGTGGTTCGGGCAAAAGAACAAACTCAACTCTGAGAGGTCAACACGTCCTGCGTGAGCCCTGAGTCCGCCCGGGGGGGGGCGGCTGCGGCCACTCTCTGAGGGAGCTGACTCTTTGGCCACCCTGGTCCCCACATCTGGAAAGGCTGCCCACCGTCATGCCCAGGCAGCTTCTGAGGCGGCCCAGCTCTTGTGGACACAGCCCTGGGCTGCTTGCAGGGTCCCCCAGCTCCCCTGGACAAGCCACCGCTCACCCAAACCCTGCAGGCCGTGTGAAGATGACAGGAAAAGGTGATGGGGACTCGGTCCTCGCTGCGCCCAGCGGGCCGACCGGGGCCTCTCCAGCTCCGGGTCCACCATCTGCCCCCACTCCCTGCGCTGCCCTGACAGCGGCCTTGAGTAAAGGTCTTTCTCACCCTCCGGCCCCTATCAAATGTGCCACATCCACAGAACCTCGTGTTCTTCCTCGTAACTCCTCACGGTGCACGAGTCCTCGATTTGCTGATTTATTGATTAGTCACTCCCTCCCCCACTAGACCGCAGGAGCCACTATAGGAGGGATGTGCCTGCCTCGTTTACCACCTAGAACAGGGCCTGGCATGGGTGGGGGCAGTGGCCCTGGAGCGGCCCGGGGGCCACAGCGTGTCTGAGTGGTTCTGGACAAGCACTTTCTCTCTCTAGGAAATGGCCCCAGTCTGCCATCCAAATCCTGCCGTGAGCGGGGTGGGGCTTTACTCGCAGGCTGGCTGGTTTTGGGGTCCCCCAGGAGCTGGTAACTGGGGACAGTCGAGGGGCTCTCGCAGAGGCATGGAGAACAGCAGCGGGCACCCAGCAGGTGCTTATGATGTGTCAGTTCCCTTCCCTCCCTGCCCTTCGGGGCCTGTGGCTTAGGGACAGCCTCTGCGCCTCAAGCGGCCAGCTGCCCTGCAGCAATGGCTCACCCCTGGCTGGCACCCCAGCTCCCCTCCACGGCCCTCCCCCTGTAAGTCAAGACACAGCCACTGTCCCCCCAGTACTTCCTCTGGGTTTCCTCCCCTGACTGGCACAGTCACGCAGGGGCGGAAGCATTCGGGGCTCCCTTCACAGCCGGGGTGCCGAGGTTATGGGTTAGCACCCAGAAGGTCGGAAATGGTGGAGCTGGAGACGGAGCCAGGCTGCCTGGCCGGCGTTGTGCTCCCAGCACCCTGTCATCCTTCCACCTAGAGATGGGGTCACCTGCCCCCTGCCTGAGCCCGGGAACCCAGAACTTCTCCGAGCCCCTCTGCAGAGCCGAGCAGACCCACGCTCCCCGCCTCTCCCCACGAGCACGTGCCTGTGGACTGCCCTGCAGTCTGGCTGGGCTGGTGGCCACCTGGAACCCTGGGTCACAGCCGGGCCCGGGCTGAGCCCTTGGGTCAGGTGCTGACGTGGACTCCTTGGAGAGGAGCCAGGGAGCACGTCGGGGGCCGGTTTGGGTAGGGTCCCAACACCTGCACCAACGGCCAACTCCCTGAGGCCGCGGGAAACAGCAGCTATAAATGCACGAGCGACTGGGTAGGCCTGGTGCAGGGAGGGGTTTGGGTGCCCTGGGTGCCTGCATGCGCGTAGAGGTGCTCCCCTGAACGTAAACAGTCCTGCCTCCAGTCCCACTCCCTGCCCGCCACTCTCCACACAGCTCTCGGGGATGGAGATCTTTCTAGCACTTAGGTCAGCCCTCATCACTCCCCTGCTCAGAACCCTCCGTGGCTGTCCACTGCCTCAGCACAAAGCCGTGAGCACCTCCTCAGCCTGGCCCTGGTCCCCCAGCCACCTTACCTACCCACAGGGCAGCCCGATGCCCACTGCCCAGCCTCGGCCGGCACCTCCCAGGCCCCCAGTCACTGGTCCCACGGGCCGCCTGAGCCTGGGTCTCTGCATCTTACCCCACCCCCACTGCCCTCACTCACCCGGGGGCATAGGGAGCCTTGGGCTCTGCCTTGATGGGGGGCCCAGAGCCCCCAAGGAAGGGCTTGGGGGCAGCACCTATGCCGTTGTTGTTGTTGCAGTTGAGCGGGGCGCTGTAGTTCGGGGGTGGGAGGGGGCCATGGCGACCCGGGGAGGGTCCGCCCCCGGGGGGGCTCAGGTGGTGGACCCCGCTGGAGCCGGGGATCGCTGGCTGCCCGTGGGGGTAGGAGGCCGCACTGGCTGGAGCAGAGATGTCAGGGAAGCAGCTGCGGAGAAGGGTGGAAGCTCAGCGCCAGCCCAGCACCCCCGCCCCTCCCGGGGCTCCCACCTGCAGGGCGGCTTGGACGCTGCAGTGGGCTCAGTGGTTGGGAAAGGAGCAGCTCTCAGAGGCGGGGCCACGTCACCCCTCCCAGGTGGAGGCCAAAGGGGCTGGGGTGCCACGGGGGCCACTCACAGGTCAGAGGCATCCTCCTTGCTGATGTACTCCTCCAGGATGCTGGTGTCTATGTTGGAGGGCTCCAGGGCGCCGTTGATGTCGTGGCCTGTGGGGGAGGGGTGGACGTGAGAGATCGGCCCAGCCCGCCAACTCTCCGCAGGCTGGGCCCTCCCCATCTGTGCATCCACGTGGAGGGGGAGTCCCTCATCACCCCCCACCTGCCAGCCCTCCAGGAGGTATTGATGGTGCTGCCCTCAGTCCACAAGGCCAGCTGGACTCTGCAAGGAGGGGCGGGGCCCAGAGTGCAGGTCTGGACAGACCGGCCGCTTCCTGCCCCTCCATTCTCCTTTCCAGTTTCGTGACATGAGCAAGTCCCTTCGTCTTTTCTATAAAATGGGGTAACCGTGTCCCCGTCTTGCGGGGTGCTGTGAGGAGCAAAGGAGGCGCTTTATTTACCCGGATGCCCAGCGGATACCAGCCCCCTCACTGACTCAGACCCAGACTCACTGACTCTGTCCTGCCCTGTCCTCCGGGAGGCGGTTCCAGATGGCCCAGCTGCGGGCAGCCGGGACCAGGAGGCCTGGCGGGGCTGGACCACACATCCTGGGGGGCCCATGGGGCTGGGGGAGACTCCTGAACCCCGGGCCCCAGCTGCAGGTGGCGAGGGAGCAGGGGTCGGAGTCAGGAGTGCCCAGCCCACCCTCACTGCGTGTGCCCATCACCCCCACATCGAGGGCTGAGCCCAGAGGAGGAAACAGCCCCAGAGAGGTTCGGCGGGGAACGATGGTGGCCTGAGCGCTGCTCCTCTGCCTGACCTCTCCTGGGCCCTCCCCGCTAGCCCCAGCCCCACCAACGGGAGGGATTCACAGAAAAGGCAGCCCAGTGCTCTTGGGCATCAGCAGTGAAGGAGAGGGGGAGGTGCTGGCCTTTCCCCTCCCGGGGTCACCTTGCAGGGGGAGCTGGAGTGCTGGGTGATAAGGGGGCTGACGTGGGAGATGCGTCAACTCTGATAATGGAGGACGGCCCCACCCACACTGCTGACCTGGGCTGGCCGGCCCCACTGAGGCAGGAGGCACCCCTCCCATAGGCCCCTAGGCCTTGAGTCTGGGGTCTGCGCCTCATGCCCCCTCCCCTGGTGAACCCTGGGAACAGAGCTCAGGTCCAGTAATAAATCCTAGCTCACCTACTCCCTGCTGTGTGACCTTGGGCAGGTCACATACCCTCTCTGAGCCTCAGTCGCCTCAGTAAAATGGGGACGTGAACAGCTAACACTTTACAGCGTTCTTCTGAGGATGAAACAAGTTAAGGTATATGAAGTGCCCGGAACACAGTGGGTGCTCAGCAAACAGTGGCTGTCCCCACTCCCCAGAGCCCTGGGGTCCCCAGGAACCCCCAGCCCAGGCCCCTCCCTGGCCCTGGCCGGCATTTCAAGAATGCTGAGCCCCGCTTAGGTGATTAATGAGTGGCTAAGCCCTCCTAGGAGTCACGCGCTGCCTGGGACAGGCCCTCCTGCTGGCCCCCACACTGGACTCACCCGGCCAGGAACAAGGGACACCCACCAAGCACCGCCAATGGCCGCCCAGGGCAAGGGGAGCTTCTCGAGCTGGGAATGACCAGGCTGCATGCCGAGGTTCCAGGACCCCCACCCCGTCCTTCCCTGTTAACCAAAGTTCCCATTTACTGAGCGCCTGCTGTGTGCCAGACACTTTCAGAGCCAAGTACGTTAATAATCACAGGAGTTTATTATACGTAAGGCATCCTGCAGGCTCTTCCTGTGCACTGTGACATAATTCTCCCAACCTATCACGGTGATGATGACAGTGGCTCACACTGACTGAGTGCCTGCCAGGCCCCAGCACCATACTAAGTGCTTTACGGGTTCACCTCCCAATCGCCCCTGCAGACTTGGTGTCTGTTATTAGCATCATCCCCTTTGTTCAGAGAAGTCAAGCCTCTTGCCCAAGGCAACACAGCAAGGAGAAGCCAAACTCAAGTGCAGGGGCCCGACTCCAAGAGGGAAAGTGTAGTTGGTGGTCGCTGAGGCTTCCCAGCCATGCTGGGCTGTCCCACTGGATGACGGGGAGCGGGTGGTCCTGAGGGCACAGGAGGTGGGGAGGGAGGGGGTACTGGCGCGTCACTCCCACCTTGGCTGCTGAAGCCGCAGGGTTTTGAGACTGAACTTGGAATCCACAGTGAATGATAGGGTGACAGAGTCCTGGTGCAGCTATTTATAACAGGCCAGGCCCCCTCCTCCCCCTCCTCCCCCTCCCCCGGCCAGGAGCAACTCCTAATCACCCCTAATCCTCCTGCCCCCCTCCCCCGGGGTGGGGGGTGCCTCCGACAGAGGCATCTTGGGAGACCCTAACGAGAACCAGATGTGGTTGGGGGGAGGAGAGACCCTCGGTGCCAGGGGCCGGGCGGACGGGAGGATGGAGGAGGGAGGGGGGAGCCACTGGGGCAGGGTGGGGGTGGGCCAATGGGTGGGAGAGAAGTATGAGGTTTGGGGGGTTGGTGGGCCTCCTGAGGACCACGGACCCCACACCTCCTCTTTCTCTGGGAGTCCTCGCCGCCTGTCCCAAAGGGTCCAGCCACCCAGGAGATGCCCCCCGCCTATCCCATGACCAGGCTGGAGATCTCTAACCCAACGTTCCAGCAGGACAGGGTGGAGTGGCTCCTTGACTCCTGAGGCTGGGGCAGAGCCTCCAGGAACCCAGGAGAAAGGCATGGCCCCCTCCCCCACTGCTCCCCCAAGAACCCTGGAACATCCTGGAACACCACTGAGCGGCAGGTACAGTCGGGAAGGAAGCTGAGAATCTCATGCTGATCCTCAAGACCTCCCTGGGAGCTGGGGAGGCTGCCAAGGTCCCACAGCCTGAAGGCGGCACCACCAGGCCACAAACCAGCATCCCCGCCCTCCCTCTCCCCAGACCCTTCAACTTCCCATTGCTCGGGATAACCAGGACCCTCGTCTGTCCAAGGCCTGGCCCGGTCGACCCCCTGCCTGCCCCCGTGGCCGCTCCTGCCCCAGTGCCCCTCCCTGCAACTCTCCACAGTCCAGCCCCCGCCTCATTCCATCCTGGGACAAACACCCCCTTGCACATCAGGGCCTTTGCACATGCTGTTCCCTCATGCTGTTCCCATTCCTCGTGACTCTATAGGCTTTGGCTTAAATGTGAGTTCCTCCGAGAGACCATGTCTGACTCCCCCATTCTCCTGAGCGGCCTCCCTTCTACTTTCTCATCAGGCTCTTTGCTCTCCTGCCCAGCACACACCTCGGGGGAAGAATCAGTCCTCTGCCCACCCACTGCCTGTAGCACACACTCACCGCGCGGTCACTCTGCCCAGCCACGCCACACACACTCTACATGGCTCGTATTTAATTCCCATAACAACCCTACGGGGTAGGTGGTTTTCTTGTTCCCTCTTTCACAGATGAGGAAGCTGCGGCTCAGAAAGGATAAACGCCTTTCCCATAGCTTAGAGGTGTGGCAGCTGGGCCGTGAGTCCTGCCCCGTTTTGTCTCTCAGCGGTGTAAGCATCTAAGCATACCGCAGGCACACGACGAATGTTCATGGGATGAATGAGCAAAGTGGCAAGCGGGGCCCTGGGACCAGGCCTGCCCGAGTCTGGGCACCTCCGCCCGGCCATGCTGTGGTCAGGGTTCAGGGCTAGACAGGGCGCCTCCAGGTACCGCCCCTGCCCTGCTGAGCTATGCACCCCAGCTGCTCCTCATTAATTAGGCCCTTTATTACCTGCTTTTAACAGGAGCCAGACACTGCTCCTTCCCAGGCAGGCGGGATCGGGGCTGTGGGAAGGAAGCCCCTCCCCTCCTGTCTCCTCCTCTCTTTAAGGCCACCCAGCTAGGCAGAAGAGGAACCGAGGCGACACAAGCCAGGTGCGGGATGAGGGCGGATGGGGGCCCAGGTGGTCCTCCACCCTGGACCCTTCCCTTCCTGCCCCCTCGTGCTCATGCCCCCCCCCCCACCAGCTGTGGCCACTGGCTGAGTCTCGGCCATTGTCCCGGGGAACGGGGGAGGGTGGGGACCCGGCACAGTGGGAGGCTTGTGCCCTGCCCACACCCTCCCCCTCAACCGTCAATGAGGCACTTGTCAATTCATGCCCCAAACATGGCGGAAATCCCGTCGGCCACGTGGCTGTGGGCAGGGCAGGCCATGGCCTAAGGATGCCGGCCAGGCCTAGCTGATCTGAACCTGGGGCTAACAGGACACAGGTCTGCCCCCCTGCTGTTGAGTGTCCACTCCAGGCATCTGAATCTGAGGGGCATCCTGCCTCCAGGCAACGGCTGGGCCAGGGTAGCAGTGGTCAGGGGATTGCCCACCTTGGCATCCCCATAATGCCCTAAGGGACCCCTGGGGTCAAAGAGGCCTGGTTGCTAACGCGGGTCCCCCTTCATTGCTGCGTGACCCTCGGCAAGTGACCTGACCTCCCTGTGCCTCAGTTCCCTTCCCTCTCAAGGGAAGGAGGTCCCTGCGTCACGGGGTGGTCGTGAGTCTCCAGTGAGATGGTGGGAAAGCTCCTCACCTCTAGAAGGCCATTCCTCGCCTTGCTCTGTTTCCATCCCTCCTGGGCTCCCATCTCCTCTCCTGCCCAAGCCCAACCTGTGCCATGATGTTATTCTGGCACACGCATGGCACAGTCCAGCCTCCAGGACTTGGCTCTAGCCATCCCCTCTCCAGTGGGGAAGCCTTCTGTGACTGCCTGCCTACCCTGGCAGTCCCTCCTCGATCACCCCAGTCACAGAGGGCCCCCAGTGCTGCGGCTCATTTCCCCATATTGACTGAGCTGATCAACATGTACCAAACTAGTTCACACTGGGACAGGGCGCAGGGGGCTCTCACCTCCCTTGGTTTGGACTTTCTATCTTTATTAATTGATTAATATGACAACTACTTCAGGCTTCAGATTGTGACCAGAGCCTTCTCACGCAAAATGCCTTCAGGCCAAATGCTTGATTCTGCAAGCTACGCTTTGCATCTCTGCATCAAATCCCCAATCATCTTGGGGCTGAGTGACAAGGATGTAGCTCTGGAGTCATTGCCATCAGGTCCTTAATCTGATCCACAGTTGTCTTTGTTCCCTCTCAACTTCTTGCCAAAAATGCGGCAGAGCCCTGCCTCCTGCCTGCAGAGACCCAGATCCTCCAGGGGACCTGAAATCTTCAGCCACCCCTGGGCTATAGCTATGTCCTCCCCTAGTCCCCACACAGCTGCCACCCTGTCCTCAGGTCCACACAAGGCTGAACTCACAGCCCGAAGATGCTG